GAAACAATTATATATCTATATCTGATGCTCAATGTACGCTAAAGCTGTGGCGTAATACTCTTGATGGTTGGAGAGGGAACTCTCCAACCTTTCAGTCTTGTCGAGGACAAAGTTCTTGCTTCCGCCGTTGGCGCTTGGGTGGTGGAGGCACATCAGGGCTCGATGATGCCGACTGCCTAGCCGCCACATCCACTCCTCCCCCAGTGACCTGACTAGGAGAGTCCGGGAATGACACTCTTTTTCTGGTCCGTTGGTATGTCCTCAGGGGTGGATCCATTGTTGCAGATCGGTGCTCTGCAGGTACTTGTGCCAGGTTTGGGGCTGGCTGATGATCCAATGGGGCTGAGTCGTCCTTGGCAATGAAAGCAGGTTTCAGCCGCTCCACTGATACCGCTTTCTCAGTACCGTTGATGAGAATTATGAAGATTCTGTCGTCTACTCGCTTGACAACCTGGTAGGGTCCGGCGTATGGTTGCTCCAGTGGTCGTCGAACGGCATCTACCCTGAGGAAGACGTGAGAGCAGGTGTAGATGTCTTTTTGTACGAAGAGGCGAGCTTTGGTGTGGTGAGCAGTGGGTGTAGGTCGAATTTTTCGAAGGTGCTCACGAAATTTCTCCAGGAAGAAGGTGGGCTCAGCTGCAAGAGTGGAGGTGGTGAAGAATTCGCCTGGTATCCGTAGCTCCGTGCCAAAGAGAAGCTGAGCAGGTGATGCTTTGAGATCCTCCTTGAAGCATGTGCGAAGGCCCAGAAGCACTGATGGCAGAAGATCAGGCCATGGTGTGGGTGCGTTGCACATGAGAGCAGCCTTGAGTGTCCTGTGCCATCGCTCAATCATCCCATTTGATTGTGGGTGATAGGGCGTGGTGTGCACTTTGTGAGCTCCGATCATGTTGGCCAGGGTGGTGAAGAGTCGAGACTCAAACTGGCTTCCCTGGTCAGTTGATATTGTGAGAGGAGTTCCGAACTGGGCAATCCAATGTGCGTAGAATGCAGTGGCCACTGTGTCTGCCTCCATATTGGTGAGAGGGACAGCAACTGGCCAGCGGGAGAAACGGTCAATCATCGTGAGACAGTAGCGAAGGTTGTTGACTGGTGGAAGCTCGATCAAGTCCAGATGCACGTGATCGAAGCGATTGTCCGGTACTCCGATGTGAGTGGGAATGACTCGGTTGTGACGTTGGATTTTCGATCTCTGACATGCGAGGCACTCTCGACTCCATCGTAAGGCATCCTTTTTTATCCCAGGCCAGATGAATTTCTCTTTGAGCTGTCTGGACGTCACACGACCGCTTGGATGGGCTAGGCCGTGAATTACGTCAAAGGCTCGTTTCCGTAGGCTTTCAGGAATGAATGGGCGGACGAACCCGGTGGAGATGTCGCAGAAGAGTTGGTTCCCATCAATTGTCAAACGTTCTAGTTTGAGGTTGTCGTGCTGGAGTAACCCATTCAACTCATCATCACTCTCTTGAGCTTGTTGGATCGTCTCTGAATCCAGCACTGTGGGCATGGAGATCTCATTGATGCGAGAGAGAGCGTCAGCAACGACATTGTCATCCCCCGAGACATGTATGATGTTTGTGGTGAACTGGGAGATGAAGTCTAGCTGGTTGAGTTGGCGAGGCGAGGCTTTGTCAGCACGTTGAGAGAATGCGTATACCAGAGGTCGATGATCTGTTTTGATGACGAAGGCACGTCCATCAAGAATGTGGCGAAAGAACTTGATGCTTGAGAAGATGGCAAGTAGCTCTCTGTCGTAGGTGCTGTAGCGGGTTTCTGCAGGAGACAGCTTGCGAGAGAAAAAACCTAGAGGCTTCCAGGCTCCGTTCTCCAGCTGCTCAAGGGCTGCGCCGATGGCAAAATCAGAGGCATCGGTGACTAGTGCTATTGGTGCTGTTGGAGACAGGAAGGCGGCTTGGACAGCAGCGATAATGCTTTGTTTGCATTTGTCCAAGGCTTCATCAAGAGCAGGAGTCCAGTTGATGTTCGTCTTGTCCCGTTTCTTGGCACCCTTCAGAAGGTCATTAAGTGGGACCTGAATCTGTGCTGTTTGAGGGGTGCAGCGGCGGTAATAGTTGATCATCCCCAGGAAACGTCTGAGGTCGGAGATGGTCTGAGGTTTCGGAAAGTCCTGGATGGCTTGCACTCTGTCAGGAGGTGGTGTGAAACCTTGCTTGTTTATCCGGTAGCCCAGGAAGATGACCTCTTCCTGCCCAAAGGCACACTTGCTGGGGTTGATGGACAGGTGATTGTCTTGGAGAATCTTGAAAATTGCTTCGACATGCTGCTGGTGCTCTTGTGCGTCTTTGGAGAAGACGATGATGTCGTCGATGAAGCACACTGCAAAATCTACACTCCTGAGGAGGTTATCCATGTGCCGTTGGAATGTTTGCGTGGCATTGCGCAGACCAGGTGGCATGCCACGAAACTCAAAAAGACCAAAGGGTGTAGCCACTGCAGTCTTTGGAATGTCTTCCTTGGCAACAGGCATCTGGTGGTATGCTCTGACCAGGTCGATCGTTGAGAAGACTTTAGATCCGTAGCAGTGTTGTAGGAGATCCTCAATGTAAGGTATTGGGTAGCGATCTGGGACTGTCTGCTTGTTTAGTCTCCTGAAATCACCAGTTGATCGCCAGCCACCTGTCTTTTTGCGTACCATATGCAGAGGACTTGCCCATTGGCTTGAGGAGGGCTGGATGATATTGTACTGGAGCAGAAGGTCGAATTCATCCTTAGCTGCCTGGAGCTTCTCGCCAGTGAGTCGCCTTGGGCGTTCCACGACTGGTGGACCTGTGGTGACAATATGGTGCGAGACAGGATTATCTGTGTCAGTGGTTGGGATGGGTGCTGGCATGGTGATGCTGATGTACTTACGGAGGAGTTGCTGATAGGCTAGAGGCAGGGAGGAATCAGCAGAGGCAATTGTTGAGATGCCATAGATTGAAGTGTGAGCTAGCTGACCAGCAGCAGTGAGCTGTGTCTCCCTGTCGATGAGACTATGTCCCTTGAGGTCAATCATCAAGCCGTAGTGGGTTAGAAGGTCAGCTCCGATGATTGCAGTCTTGACATCAGCGACCACAAACACCCATTTGAGTGGACGGCGAATGCCGATGTTCAGTGTGAGCAGTTGCTGGCCATAAGTGTTGATGCAGGTGTTGTTCGCCGCGTACAACTTGAGGTCTGACAGCTGGTTTCTGGATTGTGCGAATGCACGTGGAATGATCGAGATGACCGACCCTGAGTCGACGAGAAGCCTCATGTGGTTTTGGCTGTCGTGAAGGAATAGGCGGCATTCTTTGATGGTGATGGTGTTGTTGTTGCTGTCGCCATCCGCCTGTAGGGACGACAGCAGCTCTAGTTTCCCTGGTTGGCCTGGTGATGGGCTCCTGATCGAGCACATGGGGTAGTGCATCGTCGAGCTTGATCTCCAAAGCGCTCATGATAGTAGCAGAGATCCCCCTTGCTCGAGGGTGCAGGAGTTGCTGCTCGAGGCCGAGAGTGAGATCGTGGTTTCCTCGAGTGATGCTGTCCTGCGCTGGCAGTCAGTTGTTGGATGGACTGAGAGAGTGCTTGCACTTGCTGTTCCAAGGCACCAATCCTGTACAGCATCGCATCATTTGAATTGGCCTTGAAACGATCAGTGGCAGCTACCATGGACTGCTGCTGAACGTTGGTGGACATGATATATGTGCCAGGGGTCGTCTCCATAATGCTATCTGCAGCTTCAACCAGCTTATCGAGTGGGCTGTCCTCTGGGAAGACCTTCAGGATCTTGCCAACGATGTCAGGAAGCAGGGCTAGCCACCTGCTACGCAGGAGCTTGTCTGAGGCGGTTCCGCAGGCCAGGTCCCTCATCTCCCTGAGAAGTTGACTGGGTCTCTTATTTCCTAGGTCAAGTCCTGTCAGTAGTTTGTTTAAGCGCTGGTCAAGTGACTCAGAAAATCGTTTGATAATTCCCTGCTTGAGGTATGTGTACTTATCTCTGTCAGGTGCAGATCTCATGACGTCGGAAATCTCCTTCATGTGCTCAGGCTCCATGGCCCCAAGGACTGCATCGAATTTGGTTGTGTCACTGGTGATGCGCCTGGACCGAAATTGAGCTTCAAGGCAAATGAACCAGGTCTCGGGGTCCTCCCTGATGAATTTGGGTGGTTTGAAGTGGGAGAGCGCCCAGACTTGACCAACATCTTGCATGGGTGGAAGATGGTGGTCTGCACCATATGGATAGTAGTTTGGGAAATGTGCAGAGCCAGTTGGTGCATTGGGTGCATGGGCTGCAAACGGGCCCAGGAGATTGTCCAGCCCCGGACAGTTGATATTTCCCGTCTGTATAATGGGGCGGTTAGTCTGTTGCTGCGTACCTTGCCTATCACCGTGATGAGGATGCTCACTCGTGGGCTGACTGTTGCGTGTCGGAGAATGCTCAGTGGGCATTGTGAACCGATGAGACTTTGGTTAGGCACGTGGTTGAATTGCGGTTATGAAATGTGATCCACGTAGATCACGTCGGGGTCACCAATTATAGTTATACTGACTAGGTATACTATATTTATAGTACCGCGGGATTAGTACTGAATGAATATTTATTAGGTTATTTAAACTCTGAATATACAAAAGATGAAACAATTATATATCTATATCTGATGCTCAATGTACGCTAAAGCTGTGGCGTAATACTCTTGATGGTTGGAGAGGGAACTCTCCAACCTTTCAGTCTTGTCGAGGACAAAGTTCTTGCTTCCGACGTTGGCGCTTGGGTGGTGGAGGCACAGCAGGACTCGATGATGCCGACTGCCTAGCCGCCACAAATGAATTTCGCGCACGCCATCTACATTCCTATCGTCTTTTTCATCGAGTTGGTGACAGTGCAAATCTTGTCACATTCAACTAGTAAGCTTTGATAAATCGTGAATTAACAAAAATGCCAAGTCAAGAGGTTGTTACGACGAAAGTTGTGGTCCATCCGCTAGTTTTACTCAGCGTTGTGGATCATTTCAATCGTATGGGGAAAATTGGCAATCAAAAACGTGTTGTGGGAGTTTTACTTGGCTGCTGGCGTGCCAAGGGAGTCCTCGATGTCTCCAACAGTTTTGCAGGTTGGAATGCTCATTTTTGTATTACTAACTGGCCGCTTAATTGTAGTCAGTACCTTTCAACATTTAATTGATAGTTTTAATGATAAAAGTCCAAGTGATTGGTAATAAGTAATATACAATTTTTCAAACTTCTTTTAGTTCCGTTCGATGAGGATGACAAAGACAAATCAGTTTGGTTCCTCGATCATGATTACCTTGAGAACATGTTTGGAATGTTCAAAAAAGTTAACGGTAATGATTTATAATTTATGCAAATACCATTCATTGACAACGTCATCTTTGGTTTCATCCAGCTAGAGAAAAGGTTGTTGGATGGTACCACACAGGTCCTAAACTCCATCAAAATGATGTTGCTATCAACGAATTGATCAGAAGGTACTGTCCCAACTCCGTCCTGGTGATCATCGATGCCAAACCCAAAGATCTAGGTCTTCCCACTGAAGCCTATCAAGCTGTTGAAGAAGTTCACGATGTAATTATCACTTGTTACAATCATTGTGCAACTAAAACTCTGACATGTACATACCATTGATACATTGATTATTTCATATTTTTAGGATGGTTCACCGACTTCGAAAACATTTGAACATATCCCAAGTGAGATTGGAGCCGAAGAGGCTGAAGAAGTTGGTGTTGAACATTTACTAAGAGACATCAAAGATACAACTGTGGGAACTCTTAGTCAGAGAATCACGAATCAATTGCTGGGGCTCAAGGGGCTTCATGCTCAAATTAGAGAAATAAAGGATTATCTCATCCAGGTAAATAAATAACCGCTAAATCATTCCTCCTTTTTGGTGTTATTCATATATTTATAATTCCGTATTCCTCTTGGAATAAGTGTATAGATATTGAACAACCATTTAATCCTTTTGATTTTTAATAATTTATCTTACTTGTCGATCATTAATTCTAGGTTGGCAATGGAAAGCTTCCAATAAATCACCAAATTGTGTATCAACTGCAAGATATTTTCAACCTTCTCCCAGATATGTCCCAACACACCTTCGTAGACTCCCTATACGTTAAAACAAATGACCAGATGCTCGTTGTTTATTTAGCCGCGCTCGTGAGGTCCATAATTGCATTACACAATTTAATCAATAATAAACTGACTAATCGTGATGCTGAGAAAAAGGAAACCGATAAAAAAGAAACGAGAAAAGAGGAGAAAAAAGAAGATAAGGATGATAAGAAAGATGATAAAGAAAAATCAAAGATCAAGTGAGTATATCAACTTGGACGAGAAAAGCAAAAGTTGTAAAACCATAAAGTTAATAATAAGGCGACTTTATCTAATTTGTGATCTAATGTGTAAATTCTGAACAGTAAAAACAGCTCTTTGGATTTGTACAGATATTAATTTTTTTTTTTTAATCCATACAAAAAATCATCCCCAAACTGTACATTTCCGAATGTTCTTTAATTAATTTTAAAAATGAAAGAAAAAGATCATAATCAATAAAATAATTCCTACTTATTTATTGACATAATGGAATACTTCAGCTTGACTGCAATTCCTCTCGTATCTAACATTTTATAACATTTTTTTTAAATCTGATAAAATTAATAAAATTCTTATTCTGTATTAGTATTTGTTAGCATTGCGTAAATCAAATTCGAAGATAAAAATGATGGAGAATTTTTTGTACAGCCTTGTGAATTTTCTTAGTATAACTATGATTCAAATTTTATATGAAACCTTTCACAGATATAAATAACCCTCCTACAACTAAAATCATCGAAATAAATAAATTGTCGCTGTTACTAGTATTATTTCCACTGTAAGCAACTCCAACAAACGGTTCTAAATTGGTGTCATTATAATTTTGAAAATACCAATTAAAGGGATCATCAGAACCATTACTATCTCTCGTTTCCTCCAACTCTCCTTCATTCACCTCCAGATCGGCTTTCACATAAGGCTCATTAGATTTATATTTGTTAGATTGACTTTGATTCTCTAAATGTGGTAAAGTTACTTTCTCAATAGTGGATCGTCCCAAAGTCCTCGCATAAATTTGAGGAGTCAATTCTACCTGTCCCCCAGGCACCAAGAAAGCAGACAGAGCTGATGCTTCCATCTCCTTGTTATTCTGCCCATAGAATCTCTCCCTCCCATTAACAATATTTCTAATTTTGTCTTCATTATAATGTTCAGTGGTAACATAAATCACCTGATCCTCTGGACCCATTGGAGTCGTTTCCTCAGGGTTGATCAATGAAGTATGATCTTTAGGCTCAAATAAATTATTTTTATCACTAATGTGGTAAATACTTTCGGTTGTGGTGGTGCTTTTTAAAGTGTCATTCACTGTTCGAGTTGTCCAAACAATTTGACTTGGCAAATTTGCTGAGTTTCCTTCTACAAAAGTTGACGCCTCTGAATTCACATCCAAATGTTCCCCGTTATAGGCTTGAGTTGAGATTGAGATTGACTTATTGGAGGAATCAGAAGGGATCTGCAAGTCTGGAGGGATTGTAAAATTTATAGGTGTAGTTGAAGTGAAAATTTTTATACCATTTGGAGTACTTGTGGTTGATGGTGAGTCTCGAGTGGTTTTCAATGTTGTTGTTTCTGCATGACTGAGCAGGTGAGATCTAGAAGAGGACAAGGATGGTGGAGACGATGAAGATAAGAGAGATGATAATTGTGAGGGATTAAATGTCTTCTTCCTTCCTGGAGGATTAAATACTCGAGTCACTATAGCTGTTCTATTAACAGTCTGTATCGTTACGTTTGTCATGTCTTTGAGTTTTAAGTTTTCTACTGTAAATTTTGGATCGGTAATAGGTATAAAGCCACTCTGAGGCCTTGGGAGTGGGTGGAATCCTCCCTTTTGAATATCTGGTTCTGATGGAGGGAATGTTCTATATCTCCCTCGAGAGGGACGACTCTCTTCTTTCCTTTGAGACTTTTTGCTAGAGTTTCCCCAGAGATTGAAGTTCAAGTTGGGAAGAGGAACCCCGAAAAAGGTGAAACCTGAGCTACTAGGAGAGGGGGGAATCATTGGAGTTTTTTTCTTTGAAGGAACTTGCATCTGAGAATTTAAAGTAGATGTGGAGGAAGGGCGAGAGAAGGCGACGGTCCCTGTCTGGATGTTGGCATTCAGAGTATTGGGAGACATTGTGGAGGATTTTGTCGAGTCCTTGCTTGTGGTTTGATCCGACATGTTGTCAAATTTGTAGTCTGGATAGTCATCGTACATATAGTCTTCGGGTGTGTTGGCGAATTTCGATGCGTTTTGGAAATTCATCCAAGATGTTGAGGCATTCTCTCCGAAGACTAAAAAGTAAAGTGATTCATTGAATTGGAAAATCATTTATTCAATTTTTTTTTTTTTTTTTTTTTCAGTCAAGATAAATTTTCGAAAAAAACTTGCCAAATAAATAATCATGAGTAATTAAATTTTAGCTTACAAGAAGATCCAGTGGTTTGATAGATAATTTCTGCTTCGCACCCAGGATGAACTGATTCCACGTATTTCCTTGATATACAGTCCTGTCGAGTGAGACGCATTTCTCTAAATAAAGTGCCATCAGCACATCTGGGACCCTCTGATGAACCCTGCTGCAGCCATCCTCTCAGCCAAATCATTCCACAAGAGCAGGCCAGGGGATTTTCATCGATATCCAATACCGCAATGTTCGATCTTAATCGTTTGAATGCATTCTCAGGAACTGATGTCATTCGATTCTTTCTCATACTAAGGACTCGTAAACGAGACATATTATCGAAGGGCAAGCCTTGAATACCACAGATACGATTTTGATCCATCTAAGTTTTACAAAGAAACAATTAAAAAATATATAATTACAAGAGAATTCTCATTTAAATTCGTGAATGCCTCTTCCATTACTCTCATTAGATTTTTAATGAAAATAGGCAGTCTATTGGTACAATACAAAAGTGAGAAATTAATGGCCATAATTAACAACGCGCGAAATAATTGCAGCTAGCATAATGAGACAACACCAGGGGCGAAAGTTTCACTTTCCTCCTGTGAAAGTAACTTTTCCATTTGTTCCATTTTAATTATATATACCTTCAATTCAACAAGCCACTCGAGGGTGGCTAGGCTGTCCATGGTAACGCCGGTGAGACGATTTTTACTAACATCAAGAACCTCCAAAGAACGCAGGGAAGCTAATCCGGCGTGTTCGAGGCTCGGTAATAAGTTGTAACTCAAATTCAGGAATAAAATGTGGGGAACATTGATGAAAGCATTGTTGGCTATTTCTCGAATTCGATTCTCCTGGAGTTCTGCCGTCTGGAGAAGAGGGAGGTCTGTGAATGCACCACTCGGGATCATCTGAAAATAATTATAAAGAAAAATTAAGTGTAGGATAATGCAATTTTTATATTTACCTTTGTTTTGATATTTTGAATTTACCTGAATTCGATTCTTGCCCAATCGAATGGCTTGCAACTCCGGTAGATTCCTCACAGCATTTCTCTCGATAATTCTCAAATCATTGCTCTCCAGATCAATGAAACTCAACCGGGGTAATCGACTGAATGCCCCCTCCCTCAACTCCTTAATTTTATTTCTCACTAATCTCAACTCAAGGAGAGAAGTCAAACTGCTGAGAGTTGCAGGTGACAGAATATTGAGATTATTGAAGCTCAAATCCAACACCTCGAGGGCAGCGAGGCCATGCAACGAACCAGGTAATTGGGTCAACGTGTTGTGCGATGCGTAAAGTTCCCTCAGATCCCTACATTCAAATAGAGTCATCTTAAGTTATGTCGACGTCATTACAGATTAAAATCTCACAAAAAACAATGAGTTACATCAAGGTGAATCCTGCTTGTCGAAATCATGCCCAGAAAAGAGAATTGTATGGAGGTTGGATATGGATGCTTTAAACGGATATTATTTCATTCAACTTTCTAACTAACACCAATTTGAATTACATAATTTTAACAGAGTGACTTGAAAAAAAAAAAAAAAAAATGGCTGTAAAACAATTTGAAAATAAAGGAAAAATAATAAATTAATAATGAAAATAGACAGAGCATCGAATTATTCAATTTTTCTCTTGATATTTTTTAAATTCACCTTGTACTGGAAAAGGCAGAATGTGGAATCTGGGCCAGATTATTTCTCGCAAGATCGACTCTCTGGAGTTGAAAATTATCCGCAAAAATGTCCGCTCTGATCATTTCGAGCCGATTTCCTCTCAGATTAAGATCGGTGAGTGACCGCAACGGTTTGAAACTTCTGCCATGAAGGGACATCAATCTGTTGTACCTCAGGTCAAGCTGTTCAAGCCTGGCAAGACCATCAAAGGTACCATCTTCGAGGATCCTCAGGGAGTTATAGCCCAAATGAAGTGTCCGTAGGTTTGGAAGTTCACTCAGGGTTGCCGGAAGGATTCTATCAATACCATTGGCACTAAAATCTGCTGTTCTAAGAGCAGGAAGAGCTAGATCTTGACTCTCAATAGTAGGCAGCATAATAATTCTATTCATTGCCAAATGTAGATGCTCGATATTCTTAGGTAGTCCTGGTATTACCTCAAGCAATCGATTCCAACCAATATCCAACTCATAGAGTGCAGTCAAATGACCCATAGTCATAGAATGCACACCGGATATGGCATTTCTCGATAAATTTAGGTGCTCAAGGGATGGGATATTGATAAAGGAGTCAGGCTCGACAACAGTAATTCCATTTCCACTCAAATCCAGTCGCCTCAAATTGGGTATATTCGCCAATAATATAGGCTCAACGCGTTTGAAATAATTGTCTGAGAGGTCCAGCCCTTTCAACCCTGGAAGATTCCAAAAAGGTGCCTCTAACATATTAGTAAGGGAATTGTTCTTCAATCGCAGTTCTCTGAGGGCTGGCATTGCCGAAAATGTTTCTCTCTCGAGGAATGTCAATCTGTTATCATCTAGATGAAGCCTCTCTAGAGTTGGATGTCCTCTCAGAGCGCCAAAGGGTATCTCCTGAAACTGATTGTGGGATGCATCAAGAATTTTCAGCCTTGGCAGGGCGCCCAGAATTGATCTCAGTTCGTCGGCATGACTTAGATGATTATTGATTATGCTGAGTTCTTCGAGACCGCTTCCTGTTCTTTGGATGAAAAATTCCGGATGAATCCTGTTGATAAGATTGTGATTGAGATCGAGAACTCGGAGTTGTGGGAGCCTTTGAAAGGCTCCAGCTGATATCTCGACGATAGAGTTCTTGGAGAGGCTGAGGCGACTGAGGAAAGGTAGATCAGTGAAAGATTTTTCTTGGAGGTGAGAGATTCTATTGGCATCTAGGCGAATTGTCGAGAGCAGAGGTATGTCGACCACTGCTCGACCGAGGATCGAGGCCTCCGGAAGATTGTTACCTACCAGAGAGATCTCATTGAGTTTGGCAAGGTCGACAAAGGCTCGAGGGTGAATCCAAGTGACTCCTGAGTCTGTGATGTTGATGAGGGAGAGCTTCGGGAGTGATCTAAAAAGTCCAGCTTCTAATCTCACCAATTTTGGACTGCCAAAAACGTGGAGCTGCTCGAGATTTGGCAAATGTCGAAAATTCGGTGGAGAGAGCTCAATGAGAGCTCTGGAGTTGATCTGGAGGTAGCGGAGTTTCATTAAGCCTGAGAAACGAGGGAGACGCTTAATGGATCGGCTTTGGAGAGTGATCGCCTCCAGGCCTTGGAGATTATCCAAACTGTCGATTGGGAGGGAACGCAAATCTGGCTCTACCAAGAAGAGCTCTAGGAGGGAATCGTGGAGACCTTCCAGCCAACCGGAGGAGACGCGTTCCAGATGATTGTGCCGTAACATTAGGCGTAAAACTCGTAGGGAGGTGAATACTTTGCCAGGGAGACTGGGAAGATTGTTGTTCTCAAGAATGAGTTCATCAATGGGGCGCGATATATAACGACTCACTGCACTTATGCCTTCCAGGACTTTGGGGAGCTCACTGTGACTGCACCAAATTTGATACTCCATATCCCTCGTTGAGCACCTACAAGGCGCAATTTTTTCCTGCTCGGGGCAGCCATAATCCTCTTGTGCCCCAGTTACTCCAATGAGTATAAGAAGACACGCCAAAAAAACACCAAAAAGACCCTTTGGCGTTTTATCCATAACGCATTTGGCCAATGTCTGGCCTTTCAACTCGGCGCGTCTCTCCTCATTCGCCGCCTCCTTCTCAATTGATAACAATAAACATATATAAATGTACAAAAAAATAAATCCATTAAAGACATTAACAGAATTTACGAGGGTTTGTCGATAACAACACGGTGAAAAATATATTCAGTGGAAATTGGGCAGCAATTTAATATGATGAATTAGTATTTGTCAAATGCCCATCGGCGTCACGGATACACGATTTAACACGTACTCTCGTCACGGTTGAAGTTGAAAAAAAATGTGTTCTACCGTAAGAAAAACCAAAAACCGCTAGAATAATCATAACTCCGTAATAATTGGTGTCTTGAATCAAGGGAAAATGATATTCAATTTGTTGACACCACTTTGAAAATCATCATAATCTAATCAAAACTACCAATTCATTATTATATTTTTTAAAAAATTGATAAATATATATGTTTCTTTTCATCTTCTTTCATCTATTTGAGCAAATGAAGCAATGAAAGTTCGAGAAGATAGCGCATCATCTTTAAAACGAAAGGAAATGCAGTTTGAGCCAGGTGAAAGTGCTTCCAACTGTCTATATAATTTATATTCCCCTAAAACTCTTCACACACTAGTGTTTGTTATGCAACTTTGATACAATGCACATTCTGGCTAATAATATATCACACTGAGCCTCTATCAATTAGCAATTCTAAAGCAATTCTATTTGGATGAGCGCAAACACGTTTTAACTTGTGTCATTCTGCTGAAATTTTTATTCTCTATTTCATTTACCTGATTAAATAATTGATAATTATCAATGCACGTGAACACTTGTTGTTTGGAATTGGAGACGAGGCAATAATACAGGATAGTAAATGGATGAAAAAAAAACAATTAATAAATAAATAAACACTAACACATTTGAATTAAATGAAATTTGATAAGATGATGATTGAAAAATGGAGAAGACAGAAAACATGTCACTTCATCACACCACTGCAGCAAACTGAGAGAATTTTTTTTTTTTTTTGTTTTGAACTTATGTATTTACTTGTTACGGACACGCACTAAGTACACTGTAAGAAGTGTCCAGAGTAGGTGGTACCTATGGCATATATGGGGGGAAAAGCTAAATCCTCGTTGGGGGAAGAAATGTGGAGGGACAAGAAGATATGGATGAAGAGTTGTTGTGTGGTAAATAATCAAATGCATGAGAAAGAGGAATACTATTTGAGTGAGACATACAGAGATATTGCCAAGTGTCCAGCAAGCGTGAAGACACGCTTCCAGGAAATCTTTTCCTTTCTCTAGATCACACCTGTGACAATTGTCTCACTCGTTATTATTTCACAAAATTCTAAACAATCAATAAAATTTTTTTTCATATACTTTTTATTTCCTCCAAATTACTGTGAAGAATAACTAGACAAAGAATTTCTATATTAGGCGCTGAGATAAACCGGTTTTAACATTGAAATGATTTTGTTTAGGGGATCGTACGATGTCTGTTGGACGACTCAAATTCTGCCATGCTGCCAGGCAATGCTCGACAATCCTCTGTTTCAAAAATAATGTAGAGTAAATAGTATGTTTCAGATAATTATGGTATCATCCGTGAATAATCCAAGGTGAGGAGGGGACGTACACTTGTAAAAGACAGGTATGATAATTATGAATCACATTCATACATAACATTAATCATAATCGTCATGGAATTCACATGACGTACTGAACATGACGCGAATATCATATATCATATAATAAAAGATTATTTTACAAAGGCGGTAAAAATTTAAAAAATAATAAAAACATTTGAAATTTTATTTGATTTTTGTTTTTTTTTTATTTTTTGGCAAAAATGCCGAAAGACTGTTGTGCAGCTGAATAAATTTGTAAAGGAAATTTGCTCCCGATATTTTTTCATAAAAATTTATCTGTAACACAAGTAGTTTCAAAAATATGCGCATAGTGACCTATAGAATAGCAGTGATTCGTATAATTTCGACGGTTTCTTTCACACTTACTCTTTTCAGTACATTTAGTAGATAAATTTTTCTCTATTCCTGTCTAAGAGATATTTTTCGACAAATCAATAAGGGATAAAAATAGAGAATGTGCGTTAAAATTGATGAATCGAGTTTTAATTTAAGGTAATGTGTTATTCAATGTAAAATGATATTTTAAATGTAGAGAATAGTGAAGGAGTGATCTAAACCCTCTCACCTCGATCTGCCTTTGCCTTCCCTCCTAGAACTGGTTTTCAAAATTGCCAAGATCATTTCATCACTATAACTCAACGATCCACAGTACTTCAACACCAGTGCAGAAGGAAACAAGACAATCGGGTGTTTCATTTATCTTCAAGCCATCCATTTTTATCATTCATTATCATTGCATCTAACGGAAATGATTGGACGATTGGATTTGAGGCTTAGCCACAGAGGTTTTTCGAATGTGATTAAGAGTTTCAGCTCTTCGAAAATTTTTAACAAGTATAAGAATGGAGGATCAAGGCCTCCCAGGATTCTTATCACAGGTAACTTGGATAATACAAATATTTCATTGGAAAATTGCTTCAACTACAAGGATCTATAAATGATTTTTTTCTTAATGCTGACAATTGGATCTATAAGATAAGAACACATTGCTGTCTGTGAATAATAAAATATAATAAACTAAAGATAATTTATTGAGTTGAAGTTTATATGATAAATAATGAATATAGATCAACTGTCATTATTAATTTGGCACAGAAAACCGCATATTGAGCACGTTGAATTTTAATGATGAAATTTAGGGGGCCTTGGCCAACTGGGGACTGAATGCGCTAAACTCTTGCGCAAAAATTATGGAGAAGATAATGTAATCCTATCAGATATTATAAAACCAAGTGACGAAAATCGAGCGAACGGTCCTTTCATTTTTGCTGACATTCTGGATTTCAAAGGTCTTCAAAAAATTGTAGTAAATCATAGGATCGATTGGTTAATCCACTTTAGTGCTCTCTTGAGTGCCGTTGGCGAGCAAAATGTACCGCTTGCAATACGAGTGAATATTGAAGGTATGGTATTAATGCAATTAGTGTTATGTATGTAGTAGTGTGAAAATACTGTTAATATATAGTGACAAGTTACATAGATCGTTTTTTAATTGTGCATTTTTTCGTGAAACTCGGGAGTAAAATTTTAAACCATTTTTTTTTCTTTTAGAATTATAACGAATTATTGTTAATTTTCCCTCGGACGAAACATCGAAACAAACTCTGAAAGAATCAACTTGTTGCAGAAGTAATGAGTTAGATCTGACATGAGTAATATTTTTGGAAATTATCCGGTACAGTGTACACTTTCATATAAAAATGTGTGATTATACTCAATTATCCTGGGGAAAAAATTTAATGAAAAGCTTTGTCATTTTGTGAAATTACATTTTTTTTTTTTTTTTTTTTAATTAGATTCTATTATTATATTAGAAAGTCAAGGTGAAAGTACAACTGGAGACTATCACGAACGCGTTCGAGTGCACACGTGTGACGGACACTTTTTCCCCTCTATTTAAAAAAAAGAAATGACAAATTGATAATATCGGATAAAATGATGCTATTTAATGATTCAGGAATGCACAACGTTATGGAGTTGGCGAAGCAGTACAATTTGAGGATTTTCGTTCCCTCGACGATTGGAGCATTTGGACCGGATTCACCAAGGAATCCTACCCCGAATGTGACAATTCAAAGACCGAGAACTATTTACGGAGTTAGTAAAGTGCATGCTGAATTACTTGGCGAGTATTATCATCACAGATTTGGATTGGACTTCCGCTGCTTGAGATTCCCTGGGGTCATCAGCAGTGATCCACCCGGTGGTGGCACTACTGGTAATTTTTTTTTTTTTTTTTTATTGCAAAGATGGTTCTATGTCGCATGAAATTTGAGATGATTTTCCAGTTTGAGTATAAATTAACAACCAAAATTTCAAATATTTATTCTCAGTATAAAATGAGAAAATAATTAGAGCACAAGACAGTTAGGAAATTTCCTCCAAGTAAAATTGTGTAATAAGGTAATTGATTCCTCCCGTTCAAGGACCTTACACTAGATATTTTAGATTAAATTGCCGTAAGATTGTTCACTACTTTGCTCTACCATCCGCGAATATAACTAGTGGAGAACTCCTTTTCTCGGAATTTGAAATATTGCAATTGCCTCCTTTGTAGATTACGCAGTTGCAGTATTCCACGAGGGCTTGATGCACAAGACATATGAGTGTTACCTGGAGCCACACACAAGGCTGCCAATGATGTACATCAAGGATTGCCTCAATGCTCTATTACAATATTTAAATACTCCCAATGAATGTTTGAGAAGGAGAGTCTATAACGTAACAGCTATGAGTTTCACTCCTGAAGAACTTTTCTGCGAAATCCAAAAGCATATCTCTGATATGAAGATATCATATAGACCAGATAGTCGACAGTTGATTGGTGAATATTTAAAAAATACGATAATACAACTACAAAACAATGTTATTCGACAATCATTTTTTATTGCATCTTATATTGTATTTTTTTCCGGCATGCACCATTATACCCAATTATTTTAATTTCAAACATGAAAAATTTTCTTTCCAGCCGAATCATGGCCCCAAGTATTCGATGACTCTGAAGCTCGCGCTGATTGGGGATGGGAGCATAAATATGATCTACCAAAATTGGTCACTACAATGGTTCAAGACGTTAGTGAAAATTTTCTTCCCAAGTTCCAGAGACACACGCAGCCCAATAGTTATATGTGAATTAATATCCTTCTCTCATCTTCCCAACAACAAAGTTCAGTTGTGAGTGATTAAAAAATAATGGATAAAAAATGAATTATATTCTCTTATATCCCTGTTAAAAATCATAAATATGAAATATGAAATTTTTCATTACAACAAATATTTTCAACTGAAAATTACCGGATACAGAAAATAAATAGATGGACAAAAAGAAGAGAGTAAAACATGAGCATTCAAATAATGAAAAAATTATGCATTTCATATATTTCACGTAATTATTTATTATCTATCTACGTATTTACATCATTTGAACGTAATCAATTCATAATATCCACAATCTTCATTCCAGACGAAATAAAAACCATTTCACTTTAAACACCTGCATTCAATTCAAAATTCACGATGCGGAAATTATCTCTCAAATTTCAAATTCAGTTCACAAAATATTACATAATTCATACTTCCAAAGCCTGAGAATATCTCAGTTATATGTTGTATTATTTAAATTATTAAAAAAGCGTTTTTAATATGTTCAGTTGTTGCAACTACCATCACCAGACTCTTAATCTGGAATGCGCCCTGGCATTCGCCCTGGCATTCGCCCAGGAACGTTAGGAAGGTTCTTAAATAGTGGGGCTGACAGTTGGGCGTGAATGCACTAATTTATTCTATTTGATAAATTTCAAAAAGAAATACCCAAACGCGCGGACGGTTATCCTAGTTTATATATTTAATTTCTCTTTATATTTTAAATTCGCTGTTTTTTATAATGGATTTTGGGTAGAGTGGTGAGAGAGGAAGAATCTAAAATTTAATTATAAATGATTACGCAAATATTTGTGGAAGACATATGGCAGCTCTCACTGACTCCTAAAGTATTTGCAATTAAAAATTTCATAACTTTTAACCCTTCTCCCACCAATACACCCTAAAATTATCTGAAAATTTTTTTAATTCATTGTTGAATTTGACCATTATCGTTTACGAATTCTGAGGCTTCTCTCAATCAAAAAAAATAGAGCTTCTCTAGAAAGAAAATAGATACATAAACCACAATTTTTATTTCCATGCGTAGAGTTCGGAATTAATGAAGGAAAAAAAAAAATAAAAATAAAACATTTCAATTCATGGAAATTCAGTCTTGAAAAGGCTTGGTCGTTTCAGGAACTTGTTGATCATGATTATTATTAGATCTTCCCCCAATGTGTGATATATTAACCAGTGGCTTAGCGATCCAAGGATGCCGACGAATGTCTTCACTTTCAGGACGCTCAGATGGTTCTCTCCTCAATAAAGAACGAATGAGACACTTAGCCCGCGCACTGAGTCCATCTGGCATAGCAAATTGCCCCCTCGATATTTTGGCGAAGAGTGATGCATGTTCAGCATCATTGAATGGATATCTACCAACTAGCATCGTGTACAGAAGAACACCGAGGGACCAAATGTCAGCTGCTTTGCCAGAATATGCTCTTCCTGATCGTAATACCTCTGGAGCAACGTATGCTGGACATCCACGACGATCAGTCAATTTGTCATCGTCCTCATCGACTATCACGGCGTCCTCTAAACTCTCCAAACGCAAGTGAGTTCTACAATCGAATAAAGAGAAATAAAATTTTAGTGAATACTTTGATATTACTTCTGGTGAAAATGTCAAGATACCTTGTATTTTATAAATTTCAATTAGCTCTAGAATTTCAACTTGTTGCGTTGTTATGGTTGTTGCATGTATTATAAGACAATTATGGTTGAGATCAAGAAATTTTCTATTGAAAGTCTCTTGAGATATTGTGTAGTAGATTTTCCCTCAACTGGCTAGCTACCAAAAATGGGAATAGAAATTATGTCTCAAATACAATGCAAAAAAATGCAATATTTGTGAAGGATATAACTATTTTTATAATAACAGATGTTGCAACAAATGTCAAGAAACTTTTTGTAGACTCACGTAGATTTTACTCTTGCAATAGTCTTGTTTTTTTTTTTTTTTCTCCCAAACTAGATATTTACTGAAATAACTATAATTAATTATAGGAAATACGTTAACTCAAACCGTTTTACTACTTCACTACAAAGTTTAATTTTGGATAAACATAAACGAGAATTTGAGGGAGGGAAATTAGGAAAGAATGGTGAAAGAAAATTTGGCAAGATGTTTCAGACGATTGAGACACTTTAACCAGCCGTTAACCATTGGTAAACTCCCTTGGTAACATGAACAGGAATTAAGACGGCATAGGCAGTTGCATTGGAAAAGCATTGCCACCGTATTTCGCTTGCTTTTAAAACACCTACGATATATGGTACGCGGAAGTACCAAGGTGATACACGTACGTAATGCTCCTTCATCAAAAGTGCTAAAAATCTCTCTTCGACTACCAAATAAGATTCAATAACAAATATCATAAATAGAGTGTCATTTTCCAAATTTCAAACAATAAAACCGCCACTAAATGGCATTATTCGTGGATTTTCATTGACAAATCACCTAGGGCCATCATTGCCATCATTTCCAGCAATGAAGCAAGTAGAACGGCTTTCTTTGCAAGACTTTCACTTGAATCATAGGGTTCAAGAACCTCGAGAGAAAACTAAAAGACAGTGAAATCATCAGAGTGAAAGAATTCTAGGACACATTGTCGTCGGGATCAGCACACAATTGCAAAATCATATTCATAATCTCAAAACATCGAACAAATATCTTCCCTTCGTTATTCTATCCCAGAGAATATGCATGCCTTATGAGAAGAAACTGAATTCGCCCAATTTCTACTATCTGTTGGGGATGAAACATTAAATATGAATAACTCCGAGATATATCTAGCAGATGAGTGTATATCACATCCAGATGGAGATATCGCAGAGAATTTATATGGGGAGATGATTAATGAGTAACAATCGAAACATCAATTTAATATTATTCTTATAAAACATTCGCAAATGCAGGAATCGCATAAAACAGGAATTTCATCGACTAAGCTAAAGCTAAAGCTAAAGCTGAACCGGCTGTGGCGGCGCTAGTAAAATAAAAGTAAAGCATGTGTGTCTTGCTAAATCCAGTGTGAGTTCGATGTCCTGTAGCATCCCAGAGTGCCAGAGTAAAAGGTAATGTGAAAAGAGGGAGGTATTAAAAGAGGAGGGGAGCTGAACGGAGAAGCCGAAGTTATAAAAGCGATAAAGCGTAAACCCCATACAACTGACTAAGAATAAGGAAAGGTACCATAATAGCCCTGAGGCCACTACCGTATAGATGAGGTGTATGACGAGAGGGCGATGGGAGGGGGGCAATGGTAAAACTTCAACCACACGTTTCTTAATTATATATACGATCCCTTGGGGTTTCAAAATCCACTGAGTCGATGAACCAATATGCTTTTCTTGACTTGCAACACGTGCTCTCCGGTCTCCCCAAGTGAGTGCACTCCACCTCTCTGACGATTACACTTTACATTTGCCCCGTTTACTCCCACTCACTCATTTCATTATCTTTTCATTTTTTCTCTCTCTCTCTCTCTCTCTTTTCATTTGCTTGTCTGATTTTTTATCTCATTTTACATTTCATTCGACTTGTTCTTGTCTTGCACGAAGCATTTCTGAGCTGTTGCTTGGGGCTTGGTGTGCCCCGCAGGAATGCGAAAGATGTGATTGGGTAATAGGACAGGGCACGGTAAAACCTGGGGTTTATCATTTCTAATATCGTTTTATGAAAAGTAAATATTCAGACGAGTACCAAACTCCCCTATTTTTCTTAGTTTTCCAGATATTCCCGAAAAATTCACGGCACAGCTGTCGCGTTTTATAATGACTTTTGATTAGGGAGGAGGGGGATATCATGTGGTAAGATTGTGGAATTGAACATACCTTGCCTCATCAGCAAATACAAATTTCCTCAGCTTGAGATCCCTGAGAATAACGCCATTCTCGTGGCACTTGGCAACAGCTTTAGCAGCCTGTCGAAACAGCCGCCTTGCCTCAGGCTCTCTGAGTCTCCTTCTTGCCCTCACATAAGCATGAAGATCACCATGATGTCCTTCAAGAAGGAGATATCTCTTTCCCCCTGGTGCATCAACGACCCCAGCAACTCCACTCGCTGCCCCAGTCCCTTCAAGCCTCAAATGGGCCTTCAGCAGTGCTTCACCACCTCTATCACTCGCTGTAAGTGCCTAAAATTGTACAGACGAGATTTTTAAATGGAAAACCCGAAAGGAAGAGAGGAAGAAAAAAAGATCATCTTCCCCCTTTCAACCGTGTCAAGGTTCCATTGGAATTGATGTATTTATTCGATTTAAAATACATCTTATTTAATATGCCATATTTAAGTCAACTTGAAATCTATTAACAACGCGTTGAAACTTTGAATTGCAATAATTCAATGATGGCAATGATAATGAATGATGTTGACAATCCAGTCAGATGGGAACGGATCTGCTTGCGAAAGCTCCGGTATTGTGTATACACGTAATCGACAATTAAATTGAAACGCCCCTGGCTGTGACTCGAGGATTACGAATAAAGCGGGTGGTAACAGAGGGAGAGGAAAGGGTGGGAGAGGTATTTAAAAAAAAAAAAAAAAAAAAACGGGATAACTGAGTCCTTGTATTTGTTCGCATACACGCTGATGTAACGCACTATTGTATAACGTCAGGTTTAAATTGTCAAGATTTGCATGAAATAAGTGGTAGGGGACTGTTATCAGCAATTTCTCTCAAACTCACTGGTATTTTCCAAAAGATATTATGTATACAGTATTGTTATCAAAGGCAATAGACGTTAACAATCATATTATCGAGAAAATTAATGATTCAGGAGAAAATCGATGGTTTCCTATAAAAAGACGGAATTTCCAGGCAATGGCAAACAATTCTGCATCGGTGTTTTAGATTTGGTCAAGTTGATCATTAGATTGTGAAGGAAATATTCTAGGTTTTAGTATGGAATTTTGAAACTACCTTTGCCACTAATTGTTGTCCATTTTGAACATCCACACATCGATAAAGTGCACTGCCCTCGGCAGGTCCGACAAGTAAAAATCTATTTCCAAGTAGCGTAGGGCCTGCATTGTCAGTCGGTATTGCTTCACAGCTTGGAAATACAACTGGTGCTACCGTTGTTGTTGCTGTAGTTGTTTCATCACAACTCGACTGCATGACATCCTGATTATGGCCATTTTGGCTGACCAGAAATTTGCCATTCTGAATGCGTGTCACTTGTAGATGCAGCGGATGCTGACGATTGGCTAATCTCATATTGCAATTGACGAAGAAATAAACTTATTTTTTGGGCACTAATTAACACCTTCACTGATCAACAAAACAAACTTCACTTGGTCTCCCTGACCTTGGAACACTATGTTGGCATTTAAGTCTTATATTCGTATTATTTCAATGCAATATAATCATTTGACAATGATTCATTAACGGTTACTCCTTTGTACATGATGATGTGGTTATTCAAAGCAGGTAACTCGAGTAGCCTCTTAACTACTATAATTCATCTTTCAATCATCCCTTTTTAAATGTATTCATATGAATTCTAGAAATGATTTTTATTTTTATGTATATTGATGAATTAGGACACTTGAGCTGTTGGCTGAAATTATTGCAACCTCTTGTGTCCCTGGACGGAGTGAGAACTTGAACGGTCTTATGTCGCCGCAAGTCAACCTGATGATTAGATTATTTCTCTGAAAAACACATACAAAAGACCAAAGATAATTAACAATTAGTAATCGACGGAGGTATAAATGTGCAATCCTTAATGAGTGATAATTCCATACAGGTGGATAATGTGAAATAATATGAAATAGGGGGAATCCAGGCCATCGCATCATCACGATGAGATAACGGGAAAGAAATAATTATTAAACAGAGATAACACTGGGCATAACCGTTGACATGTTTTTTTTTTCGTAGCATTCAAATGAAAAGGTGTAAGGCAATTTAATTGTCATCCTTCTACCTGGAATTATAATGATTTTCAATGTTTCCAAAACGAAGAATTTATTTTCCAAATTTTTCAGTGATTGATCAAAATGTTTATTGAAAAATAATTCGAAAGGCTATATATATATATATATAAAAAAAAACGATAAAGGAGTAGTTTAACAAGTTCCTAAACAGAAAGAATTGAATGTGTGATTCACCCTGGCATGATTTCATGTACAACTCAATAGAACAGAACAGAAATGACTATAAAACGATGGAGTTCCAGTGTTTCAACATCAGTTTTCACATTGTGCAATTACAACTGGAGGTAAAGCAGTGGGGAGAATAGTGACTAGTAAGGTCAGGGGTAGCTTCCGCAATTGAGTATTGAGTATAATTGTTGCACTATTCCATAAAACTCATCACAAAATATCTCAAAAAATGCCTAAATACCAAAAACAATAAATTTCAATAGTCATTTCCGATTCGAATTTCGCCCACTTCATTTGTATTTCTGAGCACACGCAAACTCATCATCCCCACTCCAACACGAGGCTCCAAAAAATACGCGAAACATGATGAAAAAGTAGCTACACTCGTCATGGTTCACAACGTCATGACTTCTTTAAAAAACATTTTTGAAAAATCAATAAAAGATTGCGCATGTGATTTCTTAATATTCCGTCTAATCCGAAGAATAACCAAGATTTAAAAAAAATCGCACGGGATGAGATTTCGATGGCCTTGGATAGACATCGAGTAAAAAATGCATACTCCTAGTACTAGAAGCAAATTAATGATAATTCACTTAATGAGTAATTAATGGTTGACTTGATAGTGATGACCTCGACTTGATTCATTGTCCATCAATATATCAAGTGATGGTGTCGTCAGTGTTGTGGACTGACGAAATTGGGTGAGTACATATGTACACGACATAAGTAGTTGCGAGAGGAACTGTGGGGCAAATGGGCATGACGAAATGACTAACTCAACACATATAAAGATTGCGTTTGACAGTATAAGTTTGCTCCGATGCTGCGGGATTGCTGGCGAGATATCCTTCGCTAAGGTCAAAATGGCCGTTGCTGTTGCCCACAATGCGAAACAACTTTTTATCTTATATATATGAGAGATTTATCTACTTTCAATAAATAATGATTCAAGAAAGATACACAGGTTTACTACGATATATCAATAAAATTCTGTCAACCGGTGATCCAAACCGGTGGCCCGTCACTCGATTTTCGAGCGGAAAATAGAACGAAGGACTTTACACTATGTAAACGAGCTTATCACTCACAACCAAAGACTTTCGACACTTTTTTTTTACCATTTTGTACGATTTTCATTAGCGTGATAATGAGGAGCTTAAAATTTACCTGTGGTTTATTAGATATTCCTCGTCGTCGTTCGTTTCTCAATGGATCCTTTCGATAACATTTTCTCGTTTGCTTGTTGATTGCTCCTAGTGGACTAGAGGTGGAAATTTCCGATGAATAACTGTCGTTAATTACTCACTTAGGTCAACTGTTGTCACCGTTAATTCACCGTTAATCATTTAGTGTTGGAGTTATGAGTTTCATGGGATTGATTTTTTTTTTTTTTTTTGATCGAGCGGGCTAGTGAATTTTTTATTTTTCCGGTGAAACGAAAAATGAATTCCGCTTAGTAGGGACGGTCCAATTGGACTTGGGCCGGCCTCCGCTCAGAAACCACGGCGACAACAAGAGAAGGTGCAAGCATCGACTTTACCCGCCATTGTGCTACTGACGACTGAATGCAGAATGGTAGAAGGCAATTGGTTGGGTTTAGAGTGATGTTGTGTGATGTCGAGGCCGTCGAGGGAACACTGCCTGCTGCTGCTTGGCGGTGGTGTAGTGGTGTGGTGTTGGCTAATGAGGAGGGGAGGGGGGGCGCCACTGGCGTAGGAAGTAGAGGTGGAGGAAACTGAAATCAGTACTTTAGTAGTAAACCTGTCAAGGGGGTTAGTCCAGTGTGAACGAGCTACATTCATGAGGAAATTATCGATTTTTTATATGATATAGTGTATGGGAGTGGGGAGTTTGAGGAAGTTAACCTCTCTTATCCGGTTAAATTAATGCATGAATTAATTATTCATTCTACAATTTGAGGAAAAAATAGGTAATCTGAAGGTTGAAAACATTTTTTTCTTCACTATTTTCGCTCGTACAGAGGATAACCTTGATTAATGTGAAATCGTTGTGTGTTACGGATCTAGTTGTATTTATCCTTTGAATGAACAAACGTACTGCAGGAAGACAAAATTTCGGTAAAAAATGAGTTGAAATCGTATGCTGTTAATTTTTCCCCCTGCGTATACTGGAATTTTACATTAGAAATCAATTCCACTGAGAACTAGTAAATGAGGAAGCCTTGAATGCTCCACAAAATGGCCCACAAACCCTGATTCCCTATGTCCTTTAGTAAAAGAAACTGGAAAGTGTCATGGTGGAGAGCATGTTGATAAAAAAGCACTAGTGGCCTATATAATGGTACATACCAGTCATGTACCTACGCCACTGCAAAACTCTATTCCCTACCACTTGATCCTCCTCTTGTGTATATGTATACATATGCATACACGCAAGTCTGGACAAATGTTTTCTACATAGATCAGAACTGGCGACTGCATAACGATGGGAATGGCGATGGTGTGAGTATGTGGAGCCATATACGTGGGCCACTAAAGCAGGCACCACGTCAACGTACATTTGCCAGGCCGCTACGTACGATTCAACGTCGTTTGTGCTCATCGTGCTTACGTGGTCGATGCCTCCCAATTGATAATGGAAGACATTAACTAAACTAAAAATTATAATCCTCATCCAAACTTCGGCCAGTACAATTGGACAACTCGTTTTTTTATTTAATGTAGTCAAAACGCTATTCACCTCATAATTTATGATAATTCCTTGAAGTCGTCCTCGCTCGATGCCAATACATACTCTATATGTATTTTTCCCATAATTTCTATTTTTTTTTCTTCTATTTTTATCTCTAGTCTGAATGCTCTGAGTAATAAAAATAAAAAAAGGAATGAAATATGTGGGAAAATCGATTATAAAAGCCCCACAACATTCTTCGAAAAAATTCAAATTCTCCTCATGAATTTCATTGATAGTGTGGAGATAAGAAAGAGGGGCAACGAAAGACGACTTCCTTTACATTCTATTTTCGTCGTTCTAACAGAATGAATGAATGTATGAAAAGCTTGGATATTGACTATATGCAATTACCAAGACACTTCCTTTTTCTGGTAAATGTTGGTCAATCACATAATATAATCAACAGTGTAATTTCCAATCAAGCAAAGGTATAACAATAAAATCCAAGTCCAATAGCACATAACGTAATTCATCTGTATCAGCACCGGAAATGTAATGTAAAATACAGTTGATACTGTACTTTGAATTTCCGGAGTAAAGGTAGTAAAGACGAAAAAAAAAAAAAAAAACAATCAAAGAGAATTAATGCATCATCGGGATGACGTAGCACGTGGGTGTCATGTTCTCGTTACTGAGTTGTTTTAATTTTTTTTTTTGTTTCTGTCTTAAAGTTCAGTTAAAGAAATGTCAATAAGTCTAGCCAGTGGATGACGTATGAAATTACAAAGAAAATGCTGGCCATTTTATCAATTGTCGTAATGTCGTAATTTATCGCTTTAAACTATACGCTTGAGAAAATGGCATAAAGTCGCCGAAAATATAATGACATGTACCAAAATACCTGAACCAAATATTGCCCAGTTTCATGTACACATGTATAAGTGTGCATTGCGTGGGCACATATTTTTTTATCGCTTTGCCAGTCCCAAGAGCGAAGAAGATTTCCAAATGGCAAGCAGTTAGTCAACGGTTTTTTATTAGATGCCAATTTTATAACTGAATCCCGGAGGGTTTTATTTAAAACTCGATATAGACGAAAATCGGATTTATTACACAAATGATTTTTACTGCTTTAATGATTTTATTATGCCTGCCAGTTTTTCAAAGTTAGCGCTCATTTAATCTTTAATATTTCGTCAGATCCCTGTGTGACACCATCGCCAAGGGATCATGTAGATACATGTTAGTTCACTTGGGATCTTTTGTAAAAAGGCCCATGAAATATAGCCGTATACTTGTACTTGTTTCACGGTAATGCTTCCCTCCCTCGATCTACAGTCTCGAGGTGAGCAAAGCCGGTTTCAAGCCGGTCAGTTTCCAAATCGCAACATCAATTTTACATTGCGCAAATTTTATATGTTCATGGGAGGAGAGAGAGAGAGAGAAAGAGAGGGAAAAGAAAGAAAGAAAGAAAGAAAAAAAAAAAAGAGTTGCCTCGAGGGCAAGCGAAGGCTTCTCCACACGCTCGGTTCAATGACACATGTTCAAATGCACGGTTTCTTTCGCGATATATAACTTTTTTCACTTCTCTCCCATATCTTTTCATCAATTCAACATCAAATAGTAATGATTGACTCAAGTTATTTCACCCCTCGACTGAGAAATGTCATTCATTAACTCTTTGACTCTAAAACATGTAAACACTTGTGTTCATATAGTCTCGACTGATTCTTTATCGTGAGAGGTCAGTGACAAAAGCCGATTGGCGGAACGCTTCAAATAAATTTAATTCTATGATGAGTAGTATTAAATACCATTGTTAAATAGCCCGTTTATCCAGTATGGAAAATATATGAGCGTGAGCTTTGACGCGTTACTCAACATTGTATTGAACGGTTTTGAGACAAAAATTGATTGGGAAATTTTCAGTGGCGATATCCCGAGTATAGATTCAGCCTGGCGATAATCCTCGGGCGATCGCGAATGAGCAAAGGCGGCTAAGTATCCACCGATAACTCGACCGCATTCCTTATTGGTGGTGTAACGCCTTTTTAAAAGAATTGCAGTTTCCAGAAGTAATATGATAATATTGTTTTCTAGACAAGTGCAATTATTCCAATTCTTTATGCATTCATTGAACGAAAGAACATAATGATTTTGCCATGTGAACTCCAAGCCAATAGAAAATTTCAGCTAATTAAGGGAATTTTGTATAGTAATTTTCCATTTTGTTATTAAAAGCTCGATAAATTCAATTGAAATAAAAAATTTAATGGGAATAATGAGAAATTAACCAAGTATCCGTTTTCTCAATGCGCTTGTGTTGCGGTATTATCGGTATTTTGGTGAGATTACCTTGATGAAAAGAGGTTTTAATGAAATTCATGAGAGAGCTTTCGCAATCCGGCATTTTTCGTAAATCTACGATGAATAAAATTGCAGAACCCAGCGTGAAAATAATTAATAAAAAAAAGTTTATTTTCATTCTATGTGAAGGAAAGAATAGCACCAAAAAATGAATGAATTTAACCGATCGCCTGAAATATTGTACATGTATATTGTGGCTATAAAGAGTGGCCTCGCACGAGGTTACGGCAACCTCGTCCATTCACCGTGACATCCGCTGGGACTACTCTCTCCTTCTCTCTTTAACACTATTTCTATACACTTTCATGGATTATCCGCTTTATAGAGAGGAGATACATCCGTCATGACAAAGCCACTCGGTTCATTAGCGTCATCCAAGCAATTTTTTATAGGAATTTTCACGTGAGCAATGCACAAAAACGTTTGACTATAGTGACTCGTCATTCTCATTAGGGGAATTTGTTATTGCTGATGATGAAGAATCCTTGGAATCTCGAAGAAAATGTCAAGAGGGTAATGCACGGCTGACTTTGTGCCTGATATTGGTGCACGACCAGGTGCTCGACCAGACTTGATCGCCTTTTACCTCCATAAACCGGACATGTAATACTTTTATTCCAACAAAGACCAAACTTAACACCGAGCATGTATTTTTTGAGCAGTGCATTTTGCAATGGGATCGTTTCCCTTTTGATATATATAGAAAAAAAAAAATGATATTGCTCAATTAATTGTCGTTTTTCATCGATTTACCCCATTGGGTTGGTTCGAAGCCTTTGATTGGTGTTTGGGTTGAGACCCTGGGGCGACATACACACCAGCAAGTACGCAACAAATATGAGGCAATGCCATAGATATATACTTGATTTCGTCAAGAAAACTTGCTATTAATTTACCTTTGATGGATAATCGATTGGCGATTATTTTTTCCATTTGGGATTTTTTTCCATTGCAGATGGCCTTGATTTATCATTTCAAAAGTCATATCTACTTTATGCTAAGTTATTCGAAGAGCCAATTCAAAGCAGTTGCAATAATTCACATATCCTCTATTTTCTTTGCAATCCAGTTACACTCCATCCAAGTCTCAATTTCACAAACAGCCAAGTTAATAAAAAAAAAATGGAACAATAAAAATGATCTGACCGTGGATTTATCTCTGTCAAGGCTAGCCGGCCGCAAAAAAAATATGACTGCCACATTTCATTGTCAATGAAAAGTCGAATAGATTCTATAATCGATTGAATTCGGTGTCAATTTGAAAACTTGGACAAACAAAACCAAAAATGATAAACCACCAATTGCCAACATACAGTTGTAGCGAAGCGACACGTTAATAAAAAATCAATGGATTCTGGGGATTCTGGGTGTAATTTTTAAGACACTGAAAATAAATAAAATTTACACGACCGGATATTACAACACATTTGTATCAATGAGATGAAAGAGGCGAGGAGAATTGCGTCAGTCTGGCAGACACCGACAGAAGTAACCAAGGACCGAAGATCGATTCGATCATCCGCAAAGACCAAGGCCTCTGATAAAATAATGGCCAAATTGAACATTCGGAGAGAAAAAGGATGGGGACAAATTCATCAAGGTCATACGTCACCGGATTTATAATATTGATGGATTATTTAATTCACTCCTCACTTTGTGATAATTCTACTCGAATGGATTTCCTCGAATGTAAATGTCCAACATGAGTGTGAAACATCACGTGACTAATTAAACGACTTCGCAATGGAGTGCAACTTTATCGGAGCATATTGCGTCGAACAGTGAGCGATAAGTATGTACATATGGAGAGTAAGAAAAGAGGACAATTTTATGGGGGATATATGTGTGGAATGAAATATTCCAACATTTCTATGAATTTTTTAATGGTTTATCCGAGTTCTTGTGCTATTTTATGGTATACAATTTAGCCGCATATTCACAATTCCCTTAATTCCCTACTTTATTTTTGTAACCGAGATGATACGAAGGGACTTGAAAAGATCAGAAACATCCCGGAAGTCTCGCCATCCGTTTTGATTCTACATACTCCAACATCCGGTGAATTGCTCAGTCCAACTTTTTTTTTATGTATTCAATGGTTGCCGAGTTAATTCACAACCGTTATTGTCAATGTATTTCCGCTTCCTGGGGGCTGAGGAAATTGAAAAATAAGATGGAATAAATTATTACTTGAGTAATAATCGTAAAAGCAAGGTGAAGAAAATTTATTTTACAAAAGGGAGGAGATATTAGGGGATTGGGAATATCCCTGGGAATATCGCATGATCTTGGCAATAGAAATCAATAGAAATGGCTTTGAAGGAGACAGACATTGAACGATTTTACAACTGATTTAACACTAAGAATTTTATAGTGCTTTTAAAAAATTCCAATCGGTCGAGTAGTATTTAGGATATTTATAGTTTTATGAAAAATAGGTTACTTATGGTAAAGCACGATCAGTAAAAATTTCTCCAAAGAGATCAAGGGATTGTGAACATAGACAAATTCCATTTTAAATTCTCAGGTATGTAGTGAGGAACAATTTGAGAGCTGATAAATCCGGCAAGGATGGATTCTCTACAAGGAAAATACGAACGTCAATGGAGCGGATGTTGGGGTAATTTTTAGAATAGAATATTTCCAGCTAGCTACCCCGGAAGTGACGGGGGTCTTCCCCTGAATTCACAGATTTAAAGCGGAAAAAAATATTTAACCATTCTGTCCACTGAGACTTTGAGAATAATGAAAAAAGCAAGGCTCCTAATTTAGGAATTCATTTGGAAAATTAAAGTCGTACCATTTTACAGAAGGACAGTGGTCACAATATTTGTCAAGTTCACTAACAATATGACAGCAGGCATACTCATACATACCCATTGTTAGACAGCTCCTTTCGTTATCTTGTGTGGCCTTAAAGAGTACGTGACTCATCGTTGTACATCTGTCGAGACTTTTGGCTCATTCTTCGTGATGAAATAAGGGAGAAGAAAGCAATGCCGCACGCGACTGTTGAGAAACTGGAAACCTTTTTTATTCTTTATGCAGCCAGGGACCAGGGGCAGAGGGCACCTGCCCTATGGCACAGAGATGCCAGGTGAAGACTCTCATTACCTCTGCGGAATGGGATACACAAGCGCGTGCTCCATTCCTATTTTATTTTTTCTTAAAATTCCTCAATTTTCTGCCTTTCCCATCTGATGAATAACGATTTACTGTCTTTTGCCGGAAGATGAAGAAGAAAAAGAAAAAAAAAATTGAAATAGAAAAGTTTCGCGTTAATTATTCAGCAAGTCAAGATTCTATGGTGAACCCCCGCAACAGTTTTCCTACAATAATAAGAAACATGAACAATATAGAGGAAAAAGACTCAACCACTAAGGAATTTCTCCAATGAAAAATTGATTCATCATACTGTTATGATGAAATGAACTCTATAAAAAGTATATAAAAAAAATGAACAATGAAAGAATTGGTAATGGGTATCCCAGCGTCCCCTAAAATACTGCTCTAGACTAGAGGATGAAATAAGAGATCCTGAGATCCTGAGCGTGTGGCTCATTGGCAAATCCCTTGATGCCAGTAAAGATCTCAACGATTTCCAAAGTTCACCGTGACCCCAAGGACCGTCGTCGAAGGTCAGGTGTAATCTGGGTCGCGGGCACTAGCGAATTATCCTTCCGCTCTTGGCAAATTCCCTCCATCTCCCTCCACTCCACCATTTTTACCTTTACAAGGTGTCGCAATAAAAGTTAAATATCGTGAATATTTCAATTGCCTGTAGAGGGCAGCAATTTCTGAATGCCAAGCGTCGTGACCAAGTTAGAACCACGTGTTCATTTTTTCTTCCTTTTTTTCTCTCTTGTTCTCACCTCAATAATCAATAAATATTCAGCATTGATGGAATAAATCGTACAGACAATACCTGAATATTATGAAAAGAAGATAAAAACATATACAAATGGTTTGTTTATTGAATTATTTTTCTGCTAATGACGAGAATTAGAAATTAGTCTATTGTAAATAACATGAATAATCTAGGATGTTGTAATAACTGAAAATTAGTCTCAAGATGATTATTCGAAATCCCTATATTGATGTTTGAGTAGGGAATGGAGGGATCAGACAGACCAGAGATACAAATAGTAGAGGATAAAAAGGTGGAGGAGCGAGAACCAGGGGCCAGTCGTCATGGAAATTTTAAAAATTATTACAAGTTTCATCCTGCTGAAGAGCGTGTGCGACAACTTCCACGAGGCTTGTGGCAGTTGAGAAAGAACGAGCGGAAATACAATGCTCTAGATGTCGGCTGTAATGCTGGGGTGAGTTGACGTGGCTGTTTTTTTTAATGTGTATGTAGCTGTAGCTCTATCACACGCTGAAACAGCTGCCGGACAGCACATTTCAGATGAAATTTCAGGGCGGGGAAAAGGAAAGACTAGAGACGCCGTTGGGTAAATTTAGACGTCATGAGTTATTGAGTCTTTCTTTGAGTCTGTTATTTTATTTCATTTGGGATTTTTCGAAGATGAGTTTTCTGGAGTTTTGAGACACGCACGCGTCGCGAAGCACGCCAGAATGCGTCTGGAGAGTCAGATAATTTGTATAAATAGGGTATAAATAGATGGCCAAGTATTTGACAAGAGGAAATAGATGAAAATGTCATCTTTCACTCTTCCTCCTAACATCAAATATTTGGAAAAAAAATTCTAAGAAAAATTCTGGAGAATTGACGTTACAGATGCATTAAAATAAATTGATTTATGTCTAGAACTTGACAATCGAACTACACAAATTTCTAAAGGAGGAATTATCAATCGATACTGATATCCAAATACTGGGAATCGATTTGGATTCGAATTTAATTGAAAGAGCGCGTGCAAATACCTCCGATCCTTCAATACATTTCGAATGTCTTGATTTTTTCACTGAAATAAGAGAAACAGCGATTTGTAGCTATCTGAAGGAGCTGGAGAGGGAAAAATTTGACGTGGTATTCTGTTTTTCCATTACGATGTGGATTCATCTGAATCATGGAGATGAGGGGCTCGTCAAGTTTTTGGAGGAGATTTGTCAAATGACGGAAATGTTGGTGATAGAGCCCCAACCGTGGAATTGCTATAGAAAGGCATCCCGAAGGATGAGAAGAGGTGGTGAAGAGGATTTTCCACTTATCAATAAGCTGAAATTGACTGGACGTATGGAGAGACACGTGGAAAAAATTGTCTGTGGAGAAAAGTGCGCTTTTCGCCAAATTACTACCACTCAAGATAATAATTGGGGCAGGAAAATATTAATTTTTCAAAGGAAACAATTGTAGTCGCAAAAAATAACTTATATTCTTTAAGAGAAAAATAAAAATAAAAACTTTCTTCGTTGCTCCTGTTCTCCAGATAATTTTTGAACCTACTTGCGGTTATAGAGAAAGAAAACAATAGCGCAACATCATTTATTGACCGCTTTTTTTGCCTCTCTGACTCGATTAAACAATTTAATTGATATAATCCAAAGATGCGCTAATAAATTTTCGCTGGGTGACACAGTTAAGCATTTGAAAAAAAAAAAAGGTGGCCGGAGCGAAATCGTCACGACACGAGATGGCAGAAGTGTCTACTTGTCTTAACCACAAGAAAGTGCAAAATCACACAAAATCCTTACTCACTAAGTTAAAGTTTGCTATATCTATTCAACCGTTAAATACTGGTCTTTTTGCTTACATTGTTATCAGTTATCATTGGAAAATCATAGAGATATTTTTTTCGGTGAAGAATTGATTGTTGATGTGGCAACTCTGTGACTGCGTCTACCAATCCGCCGCTGTCGTTAACAACAACAAAGTTATTGTCATGAATTCAGCGAGCAAGGTAAGTAGAATTGTCGCATCATAATTTTTTCGGAGAAACTCACCCCCTTTTTGTCCCGACTCATCTTTACCCCCACTATTTTACACTTCCTGGGTCCACGGGCTCCACGGGTCACGTGTCACCCCAAATGCCCGCCTTTATTTTACGGCCAGAGGCTAGCAAACATGGATTCTGGAAGTGGAAAGAAGGTTATGTTGTGTTTACATTATTTTATTGTACCTAAATATCTCATTTGAAAAAGTTTAATGACGAATGAAATCAACTTTTTCGCGGAAATTTCATTGTTTCGTAATTCTTTTGGTGCACTTTGAAAAAAAAAAAAAACATTTTTATTAACCATTTTCAGGTTGGAGAAATATTTACCGCCGCCGGGGCAGCATTTAATAAATTAGGAGAACTTACAATGCAATTGCATCCTACTACGGATTCTCCTGCTGGGTGAGCCATTACAGATATAGAAGTCCTTTTCATTGTTTTATTTGATACCGGATACTTTAAACTCTGAAATCCATAAATAGATTAAACTAACTTTAAGAAAATAAACGTTATCGCAGTAAATGGACTGACGAGGAAATTGAGATGCTCCGTCACTCAGTAAAAACATTCAGTGAAGATCTCAACAAAATAAGTGAGCACATCAAGGGAAGAACGGTGTAAGTGTTTTATTATCAAGCATTGAATGAGTCTTTCTCAATTTTCTGCGTCAGTCTGTCAAGCAAATTGAATCCGAGCTTGTCTTTTTTATTTTCCGTAGCACACAGATACGCACAACACTGAAAAAAAAGGCTTTTGAGGAGGCTGGAATACCAATAAGACAGGTGTCCCAACAAGGCCAAACAACACCTCACACCGTCCAGAAGCAGCAGAATCAGGCGAATTCTACAACTAATCAAGCCATGATGAGTAAATCGGCTGAGGTTACACTGAACATGCTCAATGCACCTGAATCTGAAGTCGATGTTGAAGGTTTACCTGAGGAGTGTCAAGTGAAACTAGAATTTGAAGGCGCCACTGAAGAAGTCGCTTCATAATAAATCAACATTAATTCCTTCAATGAATCACTGAAATTGCTAATTACAACATTACAAAAATAATTTATTATAATAATTTGTATATGCCATGTTCATTATATCCCTTCGTTGGATTTATTTTTTCATTTGTGCATAATAAATTATTCATTTCATTGAAAAAATCATGTAGAATTATGTGAAACGATAAAATATTATGGATAATATAAGTTTGAGCATTTGGAAAATAAATAAATGGTGAAAATAGCTCAGTTCAATTGGCTTATTAGTTTTTGGGAAAAAGTAATCAGTTTTATTTACTCATTTTTTATTTATAAACTAATTTATTCGGTTGATCGCAATTAATCAATGTTTAAATCTGCGCGCGCATATTATTTATTTGAAGCGTGACCAAGCGATGGTAAGACTGTCACTAATACATATAGTGTGTTACTGTCAGTAGAAAAATATGGCGACAAGTGTTCTTCTTTCAAGCCCTCTGAGATCTTCTTGGTGAAAAACATCACAGACCACCTGTCAATATTTGGACCACACCCTCAAGGGCTCCGTAATTTCATAATATCAAATTTTTCTAACTAAAAAACTCAGTTTTCGTACAAATAATCAAAATGGCTTCAGTGGGAGAGCCTTTGAATCTCAAACGAGGTAATGTCAATTTTAGAAATCCCTTTCGTTCACATTTTACCACTTTCTATCTCCAGTTGTCTTAATAATAATGTTTAAAAAATGTTTTGCGACTAATTCATTTTTTAGATGTTCAGCGTGCAATAGAACTGCTCGAAAAACTTCAGAAGAGTAAGTAGAAGAAGTTGAAGATATGTATATTAGAAAAAAAAAAAAAAAAAAAAGGGAAGGATGTTTTTCCATTGATTTGCCTAATATATTTTAATTTATCCTCACTCATCACTCAGGTGGCGAAGTACCTAGTACCAAGTTAGCAGCATTACAGAAAGTATTACAGAGTGATTTTCTTAATGCGGTGAGAGAAGTTTATGAACATGTTTATGATACAGTGGATACACAGGTGAATAAAGTGATTAAAGATAATCATTCAAATCAAGTAAATTCAATATCAAGTTAGATGTTACATGATTATAAACGAATAATTTTAATAACGAGACATATTTATATTTTTTTCATATTTATTGGCAATAGGGATCACAAGATGTTAGAGCTTCAGCCACTGCAAAGGCCACAGTAGCTGCATTTGCTGCAAGTGAGGGTCATGCTCATCCTAGGGTGGTTGAGCTACCGAAAACAGAGGAAGGTCTTGGGTTCAACGTAATGGGTGGAAAGGAGCAAAACTCACCAATTTATATATCAAGAATTATTCCTGGAGGTGTAGCCGATAGACATGGAGGATTAAAACGCGGTGATCAACTTCTATCGGTCAATGGTGTTGTGAGTATCATTGTAGTTTGTTTATAGAAATTAACAAATGATTCTCTTTTAATTACTTTAATTATTTTTGTATTCTCAGTGTGTTGAAGGGGAAAATCATGAGAAAGCTGTGGAACTTCTAAAACAGGCCATTAACTCGGTGAAACTTGTCGTTCGTTACACCCCAAGGGTCTTAGAAGAAATGGAACTACGTTTTGACAAACAGAGAGCTGCACGTAGCAGACGTCAACATGTCCAGTAAATTAAGAATCAGAATCTTCTCCATCTCATTATTCGCATTTACTACGACATATTGTATCACTACTTTCGTTCTCTCCCTCACAATCTCTCACATTTAGCATATTATTCGTTACTCATAACATCAATGTTGTTGCTCTGAGATTATTGGAAATGTATGTAGGTGTAATTATAATAAAGTTAGAACAAAATTTTAAGTTTATTCAATGTCTGGGTATGGGGTGATTTGTTCATGTAATTATTATTATTATTATTATTATTATTATTATCTTTCAATCAAATTTAAAAAATAGCCAGATTAGATTAATGCAGCATGCGATGAAGAAACGCGTTGTTCCGTAAAAATCATAAGATGAAGCTGAGATCAATTAGAATTACATCAATTAATCAATTAAAACATTATGACCATTTTTACTGATTAACTCAACATAATTGGATCTGATCTGATGACATTGGCATAATTCAAAAACTCGGAAATTTAACGTCACAATCTCTAATTGTAATTCTGTCATCTTTCCTCTATGCGATTAATACATGTACCTAGGTGGATTACTTCCTGCCCTAGTGGAAATATTTTTAATCCACGATTCTCAGCAATTTTTCCTCTTTCCGGTTGTAAGCAATTGGATTAAGAAATTAAGCTTAGGAAAAATGTTGAATTTATAAGGAGAAAATCAACAGTTGCAAAGGTGAAAATTTATTGATTGATTTTTGGGTTGAGTTTGACAGTAATTGAAGTGAAGACCAATTATTAATCATTTTGATTCTCATAGGGTTTGAATAATTATTGCTGAGCCCTTTCCACTCTCCAAATTGTATTTTCCGTGGGTGATTTCATCGGGAATTCCAGTGAGTAATTGTGGATCATTTGAATTGAACATGTATCCAATTAATACTGCACCTGATCCTGCAAAAGAGAGTTCCCCCATTCGGAGAACCTATGGGTTAAAAGCATTCGGTGTTATCACCTGTTATTATAGTCTGACAACTGAGATATTATCGAACAACTCTTGGTCATAATCATCACTTTTGCTTTCGGAATGATTTTATGTGTGTATTTTAGTTCTATGTGTTTGCCTGGAAAAACTCCATTACATCATTATGGACAATCATTCATTATAACATGGAATGCCTACGTATTTGCATACGTGCAAAGTGCGGAAATTCGTCAAACTTCCTAGGACGTAATTAAAGTTGGGAGATTACGGAGGAAAATAAGATGACACAAAGATACGTATAAAATGCTTTGAGATGAATTATGGGCCTCAGTTATAGATCGTCTGCAATGAGGAGAGATTCTTTTATTTATTATCATTTAATATATTCAAAAATGTATTCTGCATTATACATTGTGCTTTTGGTGCCTTCAATATTCATGGGTGAGCCTTTTCCATTGATTTCCATTCCTGTGCTACATGCAAAACACTGAGAAAAACATTGTAAATTGTGTAGGAACGAATGCTCATATTTTGAGTCGTCAAAGAAGAATCGTTGGGGGAGAGAGTGCAATACCAGGGGAATTCCCTTATTTCGCGTCGCTCAGAGACATATTCGGGCATTTCTGCGGCGGTACAATAATCAGTCCTAAACATGTCCTCACAGCAGCTCATTGTGTATCAAAATCTGGTCCATCTCGTTTCCACGTCGCCAGCGGATTAACTTGGAGAGACGATTCTAATGCCATTATCAGTGAAGTGAGAACGTTTCAAATTCATCCGAATTATGAGGCATATACACCTAGTCGGGGACTCAGGAATGATGTCGCCGTTATTACAGTAAATTTGCAATATTTTATTTCGCACTTTTCACGTGTCACTTTATTAATCGACATCTTCTTTAAAAATTCTCAGTTGAGAAATAAACTCAGGCTTGATGGTATTCGATTGAGAGCTATGAGATTACCCACTAAAGATTACGTCGATAGATCGACTGGCATTGCCATTGGTTTGGGAAAGATAAATTCATTTTGGGACGATGATTTTAGCAGAGTTCCCAATCAAATTCAAAAATTGCATTTGATCATCGATGATGATGTCTGCCTCAAATTCGTGACGCAACCATGGAGAGATGTGCTATGTGGGGTTCATCGAGGAGCAACAATTTGTGGAGTATGAATATATATTCAATTGGATCATCCCAATATAAATTATTGAATGATTTTGAAACAAGAGGGAAATTTTTTTTTTCTTTTCGTTTAGGGTGACAGCGGGAGTCCTTTAATCGTTGGTGACTTTGTTGCGGGCATTGCATCAGCTTCGGATTGTAAAATTGGAGCTGAAGCGGTGTATGTCAACGTCTTTCATTATAAAAATTTCATTGAAAAAGTCATGAGTACTATTAATTAGTCAACCAATCCAGATAAAATTCAATTATTTCATTCACCTATCTATTTATGTATTTATATATTTATTATTGTGGTTCAATATGTCGAACATTATATATATATATATATATATATATAAATTTTCAATAAACAATTGGTCAGTTGATCAATGAGAATAGCATGTTTTCCATATTCTGACGAAATTATGCCATGGACTCATATAACTACTTGTATCCTCAATATAATATATGAACTAAAATACGTGATTGTCAAGGTTGTTGGATATCAGAATAGTAGACATGACGACTGGTTCGACTTCGACCGGAGGCATAGGATAGCAGAATGAAGAGCAACATTGCAATTTTGATCCTACGTGACCAGAATTATCGGCATTCTCGACAGTTCCACAGCGTCGATGACATGCATTAGTGCGGTCAGCTGTTGTGTATTATTCAATTTCCATCTTTTTTTATTTCATGAAATTACATGAATTATCCAAAAATGAATTATTCGATTTACCCCTCGAGTTTTTCCCACTGGTTTTTTATATTTATTACTCTTTTTATTGTCAATATCAATGGAGCGAAAATTATGAAAACGTCTATTCACTCTTATAAGGGGTTCAATGCAAAATTCGACAGACCTGACACTTCAGAGGATGCTGGCGATGAGTCATTTAATCCGGATGTCGAATTAATGACGGTGAGTTCATTATTGTATTTTTCATTAATTGAAAAGTATGACATTGATAGCATTAACCTTCCAAATTCATTGGTGACACAATATTGTCAATTGAGACGTCATTGATAATCAACAATTGGCTTCAATAATCATATAGGATTTTGTTTTATTTTTTTTTTTATTGTCTTTATCTTCGACAACTTAATTTTTGTGGATCACCACAGATTATAGATAGGATATAAAAAAAAGACGAGGGAGTGTTGAAAAAATTCAAGAGGTATAAAAACTAGCAATTCACCGGGGGTTTTGTAGACAGAGAAATAATTGCCAAATAATTTAGAAACTTTGATAATTCCAGCCGGAAATGATACGGCGAGCTGGATATCCTGCGGAGGCGCATACAGTGGTAACTGAAGATGGATATTTTCTGAAGATTCATAGAATTCCAAATAAAACAGGCTATCCAATATTTCTTCAACATGGCCTATTGAGCAGTTCTGCCGATTGGGTAATTTTGGGGAGAGGCCGAGCTTTGCGTAAATCATTTCATGAATATTATTAAAATGTTTTTTTGGATGAATCGATCATCTTTTTTCTCGTATTGTTGTAATAATTCATCTGTCACAATGTTCTTACTTTACAGCGTATTTACTAGCGGATCTAGGATACGATGTGTGGCTTGGAAATTACAGAGGTAACACATACTCTTTGGGGCACACGACTCTATCCATTAATTCTCAAGAATATTGGAATTTTTCCTGGCATGAACTGGGAATCCACGATTTACCAGCGATGCTAAATTATGTGGTCAATTACAAAAATCAACAGGTGATATATATCGGCCACTCGATGGGAACAACTGGGAGTTTTGTTATGGCAGCAGAACGTCTTGATATGCATGAAAAAATTCGATTGCTTATCAGTTTTGCACCCGTGGCCTACATGACACATATAAAAAGCCCCATCCGTATTTTTGCACCTTACATCCGTGAAATTCAAGTCCGTATACAACTGAATAAGTTATTAGATTTATATGGAATAGCGAGGTTTAACATTGCATTGCTATGTTTACAGCGCATAGAACAGTACTTTGGTCTTGATAAATTTCTACCCCGAAATTGGATAATCCATCTTCTATCGAAATATGGCTGTAATCTGACGACAAAGGAGGAAAAAGTGTGTGAAAATATTATATTTACAATAGGTGGATTTGACGCGGCGCAATTTAATTTGGTTAGTGAAATTTGAACTATTCATCAAACAACTATTAAAAATGTCTAGAGAGAGAGAGAGAGAGAGAGAGAGAATAAAAAATCTCCAGACACAATAAAGCCCTGATTATTTCCAGAGCTTTCTCCCTGTCATTACGAATCACGATCCCGCAGGTGCATCCACTAAGTGTGTGGTTCATTACCTGCAGGAAGTAAATTCTGGAAAATTCAGACAATATGACTTTGGAGAAGTGAAAAATATGGAGAAATATAATGCAATCAGTCCCCCTGATTATAATATATCGAGGATGTCTATTCCAGTGGCATTTTTCTACGGAATAAACGATTGGTTGGCTGCAGTCCAGGTGAACTAAACAATTTTTCTACAATAATTTTCCACAGTCTACTAATCAATTTATCTTTGCAGGATGTAAAACGGTTTTATAAACAATTACCAAATACAGTCGAGATTGTACAAGTTAATCATACAATGTTTAATCACCTGGACTTTCTGTGGGCCAGAGAAGCCCCAGAATTACTATACTATCAAGTACTTGATCTCATTCATGATCAAATTCAAGGGGGTAATCATTAATTGACTTTTTTTTTTAATTAAATAAGCTTTGAGTCATTGTCAATACATAATAAATCAATACGTTACTTGCCACTTAAAACTTGTTGTTGTTGGTGTTGTAATTTTAATTCGAGTGTTGGTTAACGCGGGAAAATTTGAATTTTTAATCTCACCGCACAACTTATATTTTTGCGGGAACAATTCAGTTGTCCTGTTACCCCCAATTTTTTTATAATTCAATCTTTCTATAAATTATATTGTGAATTAATATTTTATTTATGTCGTCATTAATTAATCATTCAAGAATAAGATAAAAAGAATGAAATTACCAACGACTGGTAACTCTAACCCGCCACCTACTGTCCACAAGACCTTTCAAATGCTCCTCTGGTTCTCAGACTATTTGTCACGGCTCACGGTCAAGTAAAGAAGCGCGGGCTGTAGTTCGAAGTTGTAGTTTGGAAGGCACGCGCTACGCATCATCTCCAGTGAATCCCGCCAACAACCAACAAAACACCAACCGAAATCTCCCCCAACCGATTGTTTACCACCGACTAAAAGTAATCGAGCACCGATGGATTCAGTGTGACTTTAAGTGTGAAATTGGAAAAAAAACTCAAGCCAGCAAATTTTCCCCGAAAAAAAAAGTGTCGATCCGAAAAAAAGAAACACTGAAACATTCATCACGAGTGAGTATCATTTCTGAATTATTCAATATCTTATTGTTCGAGGCATCGATTTTTCTTCTCCCCTCGTGTTAAAAATGCGCAGTGCTCCAAAAATTCTGAATTGCGTGGCTGATAAGGCGAATTGTTGGGCCCACGAGATTCAGCAATATTTCCACAAATTTTCGAATTTACCTGGGGCTCGACCGCCGGGAGAAAAAAATCAAGACCTTGAGGGCTTTTCACCGTTTTACCTGAGTAATCTTCACCTGCATTTTCACGATTTTACTGGTATCCCGTTGTGAATTCCCATCCGTTGTTCAAAAACTACCTGCTAGGATGTACTCAGGTAAAATGTCTATTGAACCTGTGGAAACCTCGGGGTCTAATCGCATTTTCCGAGGAAAATACTTGGTCCTTGGTCAAGACCTTTCAATTATTAGGTACATTTCCAGGGAGTTTTAGAGGTGTCAATATATTTGGGTGAAGAGCCCGAATAAAATGCATGTACAAAGTTTCAAGGATATATTTAAAATCTCTGCTCGCTCAGAAGAAACTCGTTGATAATGGGAATCAAATGAATTCATGACGCGTCAAAAAATCATTGTTCGTTCCATTAATTTGTTTCCAAGATTGGGTAGAGATGGGACGAGTCTGCCAACCCTAAAGGGATAATACGAATTTGGAATGCGAGTTCTTGTATATTTATGGTTGACTTTACTTGAGGAATCATTAATTCTCCGAGGGTCGCTATTTTTGGAGGAAAAGTCTAGATGGATTTTTTGGGGAACGAGTAACTAGCGAAAGCATTTTCTCTCAAAATTCCTCGTATTCTGAGATGAATCATTAATTTTTTCAATCTGATTGTCAACCTTCAATTAAATATCAATTTTTTAAGTTGTTATTTCATTTTTAATTTTTCGATAGAATGGAATGAGGTTTTCAGAGAAAAAATTCATTAACCCCAAGTATATCTACAATATCGATCACATGGACAATGCGGTCTATCGAATAACTGAAAAATGGGAAAAAAAATTCATCCGTCCGTGAAATAATAATCTTCCCTGGGAGCGACGGATAAAACATTTCATGCTGGAGTTTCGAAAACCGCACAAAGAAAGAATGCGTGCTGAAAAATATTTACATGGTTTTTGGGCGGCTTTCAGTTCACAGAATTCCTCGCGGACGTAAATAACTCCCTTTTAAGTACCGAAAAGAACCAAAAGATGATAATCCCCTTTCGACTGGCATTTCAATGCCAACTTGAATTTTCATTGAATAAAAGTTCACTCTTCCTACGAATAATTCAGTTTTCACCTTTTTTCACCTTTAGCATTCTCACAATAATTGATTGATTAAATGATTGCTATTATTTACCACATTCTAATTATAATTATAATTATTAGCAGAATTCTCATCTTCATTTAATTCATTGATTTTCCAGAATTTTGAATAGAAAATCTTGAATTGAATTTCAAAAATGAAAAAAATCTTTTAAAAGAATTAAATGAATTAAATAATGATTGATGTGATAAATAAATGGACATCTGCCGCAACGAAATGAACATAAAAGTAAATAGCAATTGTAACGTCTCGATGAATAGTTCAGTGAATCAAATAATTGCCAACAATTTAAATATCAGGAAGCCCACACACGACTCATTACCCAGTGATTTATCAAATCATACGAAATACATTGTAATTCAATGGAGTATAATGAAAAGGAAAAAACATTCGAGTAGACAATTTGGGGTGTCACTGAATGGTATTTGAGTACATTGGAGTAGTCTTGAGCCTGAAAAGGCCCATGTTTTATTCGTCCTGTACCTCGGGTCTTACATGCTCACTTGAACAGCTGTGTTGTTACAACAATGGGAGATTTCTTTTTTTTTTCAATGCTACGCACCACCCCATCAGTTTTGATCCCATAACTGGGCATCAAATTCAATGACAAAGAACCAAAAAGTCACTCTTGTCCACCCAAAAGTCCTCTCGTTATTCACATATATATCATATATTCATTTAATTTTTCTACATTCTAATCATTCATTGAGTTCATTATTTTTATATACACATACTACGATATTTTATTTTTATTATATATTGTTAATTAGCAAAAACTTTTCTATGAAGCCAAACGTTAATTCTCTCTCGTTAATAATTCATTCCATTAATTAATTGACCAAACAAGGACTTCGTCTCAGCAGTTTTCACATTTTTTTTCTACCGTATTTTCTCTCTTTTTTCTTCCACGTGTTTTCAGACACTCTTGAGATGACGAGTAATGGCTTTCGGTATCGAATGAAAGGAAGTTCTGGCTTTCGTTTTCGTCGCTGAGGCATGAGGGGGAGGATGAGGTTGAAAGGGGCGGCGGGTGGAGGGGGTTGGGGGGTGTGGGGGGCAAATATTGAGAGGATATCCCGTGAACGGATCATTGTTCTCGATGTTTATTGGTGGGTTTTTGTTTGAGTGTTGGGTGTTGAAAATTTTATGATGACCATTTATTTCTCTCGTCTGACAGCCACGTCGACATATGAACGTTTTTTTTTTTTTATTTTCACAACATAATTGTAAATTATAAACAATAAAATACTCCTAGAAAATATGCAGACGACATAATATTGTAAATGTTGAGATTATTTTATAATCTCCCGGAATATTCTGGAATTATCGCATAAACATCTTCAGGTAAATGATATAAGGAACAAGTCGAAGTTCAGTTTAAACAAATAATTAACTCTGCCTCGGCGCCTCGGCATTTCAATTCGCGAAAAGTTTACATCCAAATTAATTCTGTACTAATTAGCAACGGAAGGAACAAGCCCTTATAATTTTCCACGTTTTTCCCAATTACAGCTTGAGAAAAAAATGAATAATAAGTTCCTTTCGGTTTATTAAACATTCAACCGAACATGAAAAATAGAACTCATTCTCCACCCGAAAAATCCACTCAAATATTCATCTGCTAAAGGGTATGAAAAGCCCATGAATATTCAATTCCCTCAAATATTTCAGGTCTGAAAAATCCCCAGAGCTTCCAACACCCGTCGAACCAAATTTCCCCCAGGGTAACAAATTACTCCAGTGGAAAATGTCAGCTTTCTTCCACCAAAATAAATCACTGCAAGTCGAATTACTCAAAATTTAAAAATCCAATATTTTCAATTGAATTAATGCTGCCAGAACTCTCAATTAGATGAACTGTTATTAGAAATCATAATTAGGAACGGAATTAATAGGATTGATCAACGGGATTGATTTTTCAAACGCCGACTCCATGAGATTTCAGCAATAGAAAAATCCTGCGAGAGTTTCTCATCCCCAGGAATATTTCATGAGCCCCTAAATCCATCCAAACATTCCCAATATCTATCGGAATATTCAGTAAATGTAATCTCGGCTGGGAGAATTACTCCACAGTAGTACTCAATTTCGAATTTTTCAATTTCAGTGAATACCTCTTTGATTTTCATCCTCTCCTGATACTTTTTTGAAAATTTCAAATTTCAAATATAATGGAAAGACATCATCTAGTGTCTCGTGTCATCGTGGGAGCGTGTCTCATACGGGGGAAATATAACATTTGTCTCCTCAATGATGAGGGAACCCCAGTACCAATGAATTATTCCTATTCCAATGCACTTCTAGTCATACGGATAATGCGGGGATGACGAATGACTTGGGGTCGAAAATCCCGGGGATCTCATACGGGCGAGAAAAATTCTTTCATGATGACGTCATGTATGAAATAAATTGCAATTCTTCTCTGAAATTCATTTGAATTTTTCCTAATTACTCATTGTGCTTGGTAATTAAATCTCATCGGTTTAATGCTGATAAAGCATTTCATATCAGACATTTTTCCTCATTGGGATTTGATGATTGATATTTTTTGAAAGGTAACACGTGAAATTTAATACATTCAAAAATACATTTATCATTACAATTAAACAATTGGAATTGCGTTATGAACGAATAACAGAAAGATGAAAATAATTGAATTATTTATATATTAATTGTTTTTATATATAATTTATTCATTTCAATAAATTGTACTCTTCGCAGATTTATAATACAATTTACTGGAATGTCCGGGTAAATAAAAAAAATCAAATGACACTTTTATACCAATTTCGTCGACCAATTTTTTTTATTGGATTAGGTACCTGAATAGTGCGGTAATTTTAATAGAATATTTCTCGACTAGAACCAGCGGAAAGCGCATACCACAAGTCTTTTAATTATTCAAAGACATCGATTCTCTCGATTGAAGGTATTGTGGAACATAAACGTCTACCGCCACGGTTTATCCTAGTGTTTTTCCAAGCAGATGAATAATTTTTCAAAGACCAACCTGAGTTTGTTGGCTACATACCGGTGTATTACAGTCTTTCAGTTCTTTCCAAAGCAATTGCCTTGATCGTCGTCATAGGCGTCTTTGTGTCTGCTCTTCCTCCGCAAGTACTCCCTTTCTATAAAACTTCGTCGACGAATAAAAAACGAGTTTCCCTTTTTTTGTTCGTACAGTGTATTTTTAGATGCGTTAAAAAAGAATACGGGGGAGGTCTTAGGGTGAGAATAACTCCGAGGGAAAGGAAATTTAGCGCTTTTTTTCTTTTTCCTTTTTTGAAAGGATTCACCGAATCCGTGGAATTTTTTCATTTTTCTTAATTTATTGAAACTTCAATTACAAGGATAATAAATCAAATAAAATATAAATATGAATGCTCAATTTGTATAATCATTGGAGCAATGTAAAAAAAAATGTGTGAACGATGGTCATAACACCTCTGATTTATTTGTGTTGCAGGATTGACGTGAAAAGAAACATAAAAATGAAAAAGTTAACGACTGTTGCCCTCGAGCTATTGATGTATTGGCTACTGGTGCAGCCGTCCAGTCAAGCGTCAATGCAAGCTGCCACAGTGTCATCACCAGGGAGCAGAGGTCGTCCAGCAAAGAATAATACCACTGAGACAAACATCTGTGATCTCAAGCTGGAAAAAGCCCCAGTATTCTGTCACTGCGATACAATCGATTTGCACAGAGCAACGGAAAGCAAATGTGTGGTACTTGATGTACTCAAAGTCGACGATCCCATTTGGGAAATCATTGCAATGTCACAACCAAAACTACAGAATCTCGAGCTCGTTGTGAGAGCTGGCAGTGATATGAGTTACGTACCCACTAAGACACTCAGAGTACTCAGAAATTTGACTCGCATTGAACTCAAAGATGCTAATATCGGGGAACTCGTTGAGAAGGCGTTCAGTGATATTCAGAGTCTCACTGCTATACACGTCAGAAGATGTTCAATAGTTCACCTGAAAAAATATGCTTTTGGAAATATGACGAAACTCGATGCCATTTTTCTCGATGAAAATCGCATTCACGAGATCAACAGGTTATTATCATTTTTTTTTTTCAACTTATTTACTTTTTATTTTTTTTCATTTATTCATCTGATTGTTGTGATTGTGATTGTTACTGCTAAATGAAATATGAGTTTAATCAAATATATTTTTTGGCGAATTAATCATTGATTTTTCACTTTCAGAGACGTATTTGTAAATCTTCCATCCCTTAAGAAACTCGTGATAAACAAAAATAACTTGACACTGATTCACGACAAGGCACTAAAACACTTGTCAACTCTGGAAGTCCTCGAGTTGAGGGAAAACAAAATATCCGTGATAACGAGTGACACATTTGCGGGTCTGAAGAGTCTCAAACACCTCAGCCTCAGTGGCAATGTCATAGAGATGATCGGTGATAAAACATTTGTAGAAGTTCCAGAGCTGCAAGTGCTTGAGTTGGATCAGAATAAGATTGAATTCGTCGTGAACGGTGCACTCGAGGGATTGAGAAATCTACGAAAATTGAGTCTGAGTGATAATAAACTTGTTAGACTGGGAACCGACATTTTATCTGGCACACCATCGCTTAATTTTCTCGATCTCAGGAGCAATGCACTCAAGACTATAACTTTCGAGCACATCAAGCCAATCTTGCAAGAGTTGTATAATGCTACGGGTCATTTGTACTTGGATGGTGAGTCTAATATATTTTTTATCATCATTCACGCGAAAATTCATCGATTTCATTGCAACCTGCGACGAGTCCGATGAAAAATCACTCCATTTATCGATTTTTCTCTAAACCTACCGATCTAAAAAATCCACAATCTACATTTAAAGTAGATTTATTACGATAAAGATAAGTGGGTAATTGTGGACTCGTTTCTGCTGTGGAATAGTAATTCACTATCGAGGGGATGTCAAGTAAAAACTCGGCAAATGGTTTTTTCATGACCCAAATAACATAAAAATTCCCAACGAGTGCATTAATTTCAGCTATTCTCAAGATATAATCGTCCACTACATAAAAGGAGCCGAAGGCATTGAATGCGCGACCGAAAGAAATATCGAAGTTCTCTTGAAATCGATTTATTCCGGCCCTTTTCTCCTGTAAATCAACTTTTATTCGAGAATAAGCGAGATTCAATCGCCTGTCGATATTAAACTATTCATTGAAATTATTAAAGGAGAGATTGAACCAGATCCATTAATGCCGCGAATTTCTGTTTAACTCTTCGCTGTTCACAAGATCTAACGAGCATTTTAAATGATTTCATTCAAAATTCACTTCGAATCCATCAGTTTGATAACCCGAAATGCAGTACAAATCACAGTCTCTCCGCGATTATTGCCGCCCGCACAATCAATTGCTAACGAGAGAAAATATTTTCCATTTAAATTTACGTTTTTCCGCAAATTGTCGCTGGAATTGACGTAAAAACTCCCCACATTTGCGTTTTATAATTATTTATTGTGGTGGTGCGGAAAAGCCGATATTTTTCCACGTTAATCCTATCGTAAGCTTGTCAGAAAAATGAAAAAACATTAATTTTGGCTATACGTGGGTGTAGAGCGCTCTTAACAAAAAAACTCTCATATGCAGCCGCAATATTGAGGAACTTCATAAATGCTCGAAATTTCAACAAAACTCGAGTGTTTACTCCGATCACTCCCTCCCAGAGCCACCCCTTTCCCATTGGAAAAGCCTGTAGTATCAGAAAATCGAGCATACACGACCCCAACAACGTAATCAGCCATTACTACCAGTATTACACTTGATTACAGGGTAAAGTCACCATGTACCTCATCCATGGGCCTCAAGCACCGTTTATTCCGCGTCACATAGCATATAGGCGTGTCTCCTGAGTTCTCCAGCTCCATCATCGATAATAAACCGGTCTCTCCCTCGATTCAGTGGAGAAAAAAAAACCCTTCAGGTTTATGCGTAATGCACTACCTCGAATTGAGAACAATAACCCGTTGATTTTGCATTCGGAGGGTCACGAACCAGAGGGATATCGAATTCACAAACCCCTTTAGGTCTTTTTAGTCTCATCCTTGGCTCTCGTAATCCCCTTCGCCACGCGTCTCACGTATGCTGCTTTATACCAACCCCCGTAGTTTAACTTCACAAAAACCAGGGCGAATCCTTTATCAAATATTATGATACGTTTTATCTCTCATACTGGCAATTTCCGCATTACAGGGGAGACTCTGGCAAATTGCAACGTCTTCTATCGTTGATAACTGATGATAAATAATTTTTATGCGAATAAATGGATTTGTTCCTTGGATTCTGAGATATTGGCTAAAGACTCGCCTCGGAAAAAATTGACTTTCCAGGAATTATGTGCAACGTTTTTATCTCACTGAATTTATGATTCGGGGGAAATATTTTGAGAGAGGATTTGGAATTATCAGACGACACGGGGGAATAAAACACAATTTTATCGAGAAAGACTTCGCTCATGGGTTTGGAAATAATGATTTTCCCCACAAATAATTCAGTGAAAAATTTTTCATTCGCAGACTTAGACCTTCGTCGAAGCTTCCATTCGCATGTCGCCGAGTAGGCGTGCCCCTATATTAGGTTTTAATCATTTAGGGGATGAAATTTCAGGGAAGGCGTGGTACGTCTGCTTCCCCTGCCGGGGGTAACACCCCTTCCTGTCTACCCTGTCTGCTTTTTCGTGTATCACTCCTGACCCCCGGGAAAAATTGCCCGAGGCAAATTCACCCCCTGTGCCTCAATATTTTCTGATTTTTCGGTGGGGAAAAGATTTTTATATTTTTACCCCAAAGATTTTCAACTCGAGGGGGAATTTACTCCAGGGATTTAACACATATTTTAAAGATCTAATGTTGGGTGAGATGGAGAGATTGGCCCTTGGCTACACCTGGCCTTTCTTTTTCCCAACTGCTTTTACCTGGAGGGGGGGGGGGGAGGCAAAAAAGGTACACGGGCTAGATAGGACCCATCCCCTTGTTACCCAGCGGGTGGTGTGCCTCGTTGCCAATAACCTGAGGGACAATACAATTACATGAAGCTTTGGAGAGTCCCCACAAAAGCGCAATCGGGGAAAATAAATTTGGAAAATTTATGGGGTCTGCGTAGGACATCCGCCAAAATAAAAAAACTCCATTTGTTGTAAAAAGAATGGACCGGAGAATATTTTCAGATTAATTCCATTAAAATAATTTCTGTGAAATTGTGGATTTGATTATATATTATATTTTGGCTCGATTAAATTTCAGATAACAAGTTCATCTGTGACTGCAGACTGGCGTGGATATTCGGGGTCAGGAATGAAACTTCTAACAAAGTTCTGAGGGACTCACTGGGATCACTCACTTGCTTCCTGGAGAGCCAGGACGAAAATATCGACGATTACGACGTTGAGAATAATGAGACGGGTATCGAAGTCAAACAGAATTCAGGTATTTGAGATTTTTTATTGATTTTAATTTTCATTTCATTTGAGAGATGAATCTTTAGACATTCAACGAACATCTCCCTCTTTTCAAAAGATTAATGATGCGAGGGGAAAACCTAATGATTCACTGAGTGAAAGGATGAAAGGACTGGGAGTTCTTCCCGCAGACAAATGATCATGTGGAAAGATCCATTTTCATCATTTTCTAATTCATTCTACTTCTTCATTCTGTATCTAGCTCTCTGACACTTAATCCGCTTCGATAAGTTAATCAACGAACAATTAATTACGTCTATAATTCTAATAAAACCTTCAAGAGCGGGAAACCTTTAAAAATAAAAATAATGCTTAGAGGCAGAGAAAAATTCAGTTTTTCAACAACAAACAGCAACAATAAATAATAAAATCCCTGAAAGCCGGAGAAATGTAAAAAAAATAGTTTTTCATCGACTCACAGGCACAGAGTAATTAAAAATTGCTGAGAAAGTAATCAACGGTAAATATTGATTCGCCAGCCGGCAACTCGTTAAAACTGAAATAAATTCCCATGAATTTTTAACAAATCCGTGAATGTTTGACAATTGAAATGCGATGAAGATGAGATTAGCATGGGAACATCTCCATTGAATTGAGGAACTGATTATCCGTTGAGATAGAGGATTTCCTGATGTGATGTTCTCAGCTGAGGCCTCAGCATCCTTTATTTGTCTTCCAGACCTCCAGTTGAATAAAAAAAAACTCTGAGAGAACATGTGCAATTTGTCGGGAGGGAAGAGGATTCTTATAATGTGTTTCTCATTTATCTTTTTAATCGCCATACATGACACATACTCTCGAATGTGGACACCATCAGCATTCTTTGAAGGCGTGAAATTATCATGGAGAGATGCGGATCGCGTCTTGGGTTTCTTGGTTTATCATAAATAGGCCATTCCTTCGTGATTAGATCACCCTTTTTCCTGGATTCTGGATTTGCTATAAAAATTTATTCGTTGATTTCCTATTTTATTTTCTCTGTTGGAATTTTTTTTTTCACGAGCATTCTCGCAAATGAATGTTATTTTTATTAAAATTCTTAAGCAAATGGAATTAGAGAATTTAGGAGGTATATCGAGACCATTCTGTAGATTTTTATTTATATTTCTACGAGTCAGCCAACGAATACTGAAATACAGTTGAAACTGCGAAGGAATCCTCGAAATGTCAACAGGATATGAAGCCGTAAAACGTCTATTGCCTACAAATTTCCTCGAAAACGAGAATATCCAATTTATTAAAAATTGAGATCCATTTGTCAATCACGTGCATGAACGAAAACTTTGGCCTCTCGTTTTCCGAAATTATCCTGATCCAAATAGTTATTCCAAGCTTTCCCGAATTTCCCAGAAATTTGAATGGATATAAACTTTCAGAATGTATAAATTGTAAAAATACTGGTGTCAATTTCAATCAGAAAATTAGTGATCTATTCATTACCTCCCGCCGCGTTTTAATTCCGCGTTTCAATTTGGTGAAACATTTCTGCCTGAAAGTTCTTAACTTTTTTTCTTGCCCTCCACTCGTCGCTCCTGTTGTCAGATATTCTGGAACTGACAGAGAGTATTAAAATTTCGAGGATTTAATTGCCACTCGGGGAAGAAACAAATTTTTCACGATTCCAAAAATCGTGGAATTGAAAATTCCAAGGGTTTTCCGTTGGGAGAAATTTCCAGCGTGTAACTGTAAAGACGAGTGCTGTATCGATTTCCTCGGAAATAACTCGACATTAAATTTCCACACCGTGCTATGACTCAAAGCACTAGTTATGGATCCACTTCTCATAATTGACGTGATCTCACCAATTTACAAATGCATAAACGAATAAAATGGAACCCCTCCCATCATCCGCACCCTCTCAGTCGTTTTTCTCGTCTTGTCAACTATTCCGTAACGAAATAAATCTCTTAAGGGCGTAGAGAGCAATGGATGAGTCATCCCTGTTCTAATTTCAGTACTGATCATTAATTTTTCCTCGAGGTTGGCATGCGAAAAAATTCACATCGAAAACCACCAATTGGCTGTGAAAATTTCAAGATTTACCGAAAAATTTGATTACAACGGTAAATGTCTGTATTTTATTTTTAAATATCAATTTTTTAAATTGAAGGCGAGTCCTACGAAATCAGCAAGAAAGAAAATGCTGAGAACGAAGACGAGGACGAGACCGAGGACGAAAATAATCCGAATTCTGAATCCGAAGGTGGAAAGGTGAGTTCCACATAAATCCCTGTTTAGTCCAAATAAATGATTAATGGATAATTAATGGATGTTCATTGCCCTGAAATATCAGTTGCAGAAAATTGATGGAAAGCTGGGCTACATCAAGCACATATCGGACCTGAAATTCGACGATCTGCCGTGTCCAGAGCAGCAGGAGGCAGTGGGATCTGAGCAGTCATCTAGTCGCCGGGAAAACGCACCGATGCAGACGTCATCAGGGATCAAGACACAAATTACTCTATCGTCGTGCGTTCAACTTGTCATTACAATCGTTGCACTAGCTGTCATGTGAATTTTAATCGAGAGAACGGAAGAAACAGTATTTATCCATTGTTCCCATCCCCCCCTCCCCCACGAAAGTTGCCAAAACCTTATTTGTCATTGTACTATTAAGTCTGATGAGAAATTAATGAATAAGTTCACTTTGTATTAAATTTACTTTTTCTACGCGCATTTATTTTTCATTTTAGGTAAAATAATCACAGATGACTATGATACTCAAACCTGTTGCAGTTGTGCAACGACTTTTGTAACTTTATTGGTAAATAATTTATTAATAAATTAATTAATAAATATTAAGGTGCAAAAAGTTTCTGATGAGTTTTAGTAGGAAGAAGTTTGGCAGCCTGCTTTTTAATTTTCTCTTCTGAGAGAAATTATTCTGGGATTTTTGGAAATTCCAGGCAATTACTGATTTATTTCATGTGCCTGGAGCCTAGACAAATTTCAGGTCCTGGTCGTTTTGTAAGATTTAATTCAATAAAATGTCAATGGATGAATCGCATTATTTGAGAAAAAATAATTTGATATCGATTTGGTACTATGGAATTATCTGGCGAATTATTCACGGCAATTGAACAATGGGTTATTGAATTCCCGAATTTCTTTTCATATCGTCGGTTATCAAATTATTGATGATATCGAAACTTAAATCGCAAAATCAGTTCTCTCTCCCCAGCGAATCCAGTACGTCAAATCAACTGCCGATTCGAAGGTCGACAATGCAAATACCACGTAACGCAAATAGTTGCAATAATAATTCACATAAAAAAAAAGAGACAGCCTTCAAGCAAATATATTCCATAATTTTCGTAGACAAACGGATCATATTTTGAATATTTTCCGAATACTTTCCGAATATTTGTCGAATACTTTTGACCGCGTGGGGACGAGAACTCGACTATTTAATGCATATGTTTTGATCGGTTTGAGCAGTGAACATTGATCGCGTGTCTTGTTACCTCGGGCCAGTGGTCCACGTAAGTTTTTCCACATCGAAATTGTTGGGGTGATAATCGATACGACCCAGATACTTCCGCAACTCACGGAAATTTCGTCTGACAGTGGATGACAGTTGATAACAGTTGATAACAGTCGCTAATTGATGAGCCAAAGTTTACGTCACAAGAAAGTACAATATTTATTGTTAACTCTTGTTACGTTTGAATCTATGTGGACACAATTGCTGATGATACGTGAGGGTCAGCTGGATAGGAAGTCAAGGCATTAAATTTAGTATATCCGCTGGGGCGATTTTTCAACGACTCGCGATTGAATGAGAAGTGCATCAGTGCAACGTCTCGCAATTCGAGGAGAAAGTTCACATATTGGGATTTTGATATGGCTCAGGTAGGAATTTTATTTTATTTCGTCCAAATCTGTAGTGAAGTGGTAATAAATGAAGAAAGTGCATTTTTTTCAACGCCCGGTTTAACTCCCGGGAGAAGTGAACGAATTTAACATTTACTAGCATAATAAAGCTTTTGATTTTTTTTGGATTCCGGATTATTGTCCATTAATTTCCAGCAGAGTCTAGTCGCCATGAAAAATTAAATAACGGAACTCATATTAAATTTAATACGAATTTGCACACAGTCGAGGTACGAGTGGGTGGAAAAACGTCAGATTTTCCAACTCATTGCCGTTGAAGTGATTGTCATGGTACTCATGGGATTATTCCTGAGCTACGGACCCGATGCCAGTGGGATTTCCCCTCCACCGAAGCAGAGTCCATTGGTCCAGGGCAAAACATCGAGATCTTATGTTTATCCGAGTATGTAAAGCACATGGAGATGCCCCCCTTTTTTTTCTCTTCAATTTCTTTGCACAATTCTCGTGGTGTCGGTTCTTCGATTGCGATAAGATCATGAAAATGTGACATTTCAGCTCAGAAATAGATGAGGTCGCAGTCGCAAAACTCCCGTTGACGTATCGATACAAATTTGCACGGAATTTCGGAAATCTTTCTCGAGATATTAGAAATTTTTTTAGGAGAATCGCTCTTCTTTTTTTTTAATTGCATTGCAATTGCTTTGCTAATTAGGATGACAACGGGTCGTGCTCATGGTACAGCTCTCTGTTTTCTCCAGGCATTTTTAGTCTGCGCCTTTTTAGCTGTTTTTGAATATGGCACTGAGCCCAAGGCAATTAGTTATAAACACAGTTTTTCTGCTTATTCAAACGGAAAAGCTACAGCAGCCGATTCGTACATGCGTAAGTTTTCACCAATTTTCCCTTTTTCTCTCTCACCAACTCTTCTCCTTTTTTTTTCTCTTTCCATTTTAACAACCCTTTTTTCTAAGGGAAATTAGAGATTCGTGCTGTTGGCTGTTTGCATTCTCGAATGGAGATCTTAATCTTCAGGGCTCTGCATCTCGCTGTATTTATTATTCAAGTATTTTTAAGTGTTCGTTAAAAGTTGGGAATGACAAAAATTTTCACTCCGTTTAATCGCTAAACTTTCGGCTTTTCTGAAGTGATCGATTCTTGAGTGGATCTTATTTTTATTCAAGTACACTTACGTCGTACGGAGAAAAACTTTGCAAATAAAAAACTCGAGGAGTTCTGAAAAAATTACTGTTCTTTGGTAGGAAATCCCATTAAAGTTTTTATTATTCCACTCATACATTCGATTCTAATAAATCCTTCCATTTATCCTGCCAATTGATTTTACAAAAAAAAAAATACTAAACCATAATTCAATGGTAAATAACAGCAAAAGAATAATTCTCGCTGTAGCAACTTTCGACCAGATTGTCCCTCGACAAATAGAAAAGTCAGTAGAATAGTCAGATAAATCCACTTCAACTCCATCATAATTCCCAATTAATCATTAAATTTTGACAGGGAGATTGACAGCTATGCATATACCTTAATAATTCGCACCTGTTATTTAATATATCAATGAGAATGATAACGAACCAGCGAGAACTCGCGCGATTCAATCTCCACCCTATTTTCATCAATTATTCAATAATGATTATCCGATTGAAGTGTATCAGGATGTTCACGTGATGATATGGATTGGATTTGGATTCCTCATGACATTTCCCAAAAGATACGGCCAGAGTGCACTCGGATTAACATTTCTTGTCGGTGCTATTTTAATTCAAGTGGCAATTATCTGCGAGGGAGTTATAAATATCACGAAAAGTGGTAAAGCGCCTTTATCATTGATGAGGTAATATATAATATAATCATTATTATTATTGTTTTTATTTGCAGAAGTACTCGGGAAATTTGATTATTTAAATTTTTTACGAATGCAATTGCAAAATTTATAATTACCTGAAGATATGAATTCTATTTGCAGCTTATTAAATGCAGATGTAGCAGTGGCTGCACCACTTATTTCAATGGGTGCTCTGTTGGGTAAAACAACTTACATGCAATTGATTTTCATGGGAATAATAGAGCTTGTCGTATTCACCCTCAACAAGTACCTCGGGGAGGAGTACTTGATGGTTAACATCAGTGTTACCACAACTTATGGAAACCCTTTCAATTTTTATTATTTATTATTCTTTCCAGGCTGCTGACGCTGGGGGGAGTATGTTTGTTCATGTTTTCGGAGCTTATTTCGGTCTCGCTGTGAGTTTTGCATTTGGAATTAAAAGAAGACCTAAGGAACATCATCTGGAGGGCTCCTCCTACCATTCTGATATATTCGCTATGATCGGTAATTTTTTTTTTTAAACAGACACCACAAGAAAATTTTCTCCAAAAAAAATTATCCCCAAAAAGAATTGAATTATTCAATTCAATTAAAAAATAATTAATTCAAGCGTCACTCCTTCTCAAATCTCATTTAATTTCGTAATAAAAAAAAAAGAGATGAATCTCAGTGGAAATTATTATTAATTATCCATTTAGCTCTGAAGTTTTTACTGAAATATGTCGAGCGGTCTGCAATTAATCTTTAAAATAAATGATAAATGATGAATAATGGAACAGTAGCATTAATTTTCAAGTTGCCGTACATCACCACCAATTGAATTGATAATTGACATTTCTACTTGAAAGTCTCTTCTGTCTCCTCAATTCGATGAGTGAATAATTTATTTATAATATCTGGAGCTTCTATTCCATTATCAATGCTCAGGAGAATATGTAATTCGTTGGAGCACAAAAGCAATCTCGTCTGTCATTCATAATTTCATGGAGAATCGAAAAAATATAATTTTCTTTTTCTCTAAATAATTGTGGAGATCACTCCACTCATAATTAATAAACGTAAATAAATTATCTTGATGTGATATACATATCGTGACGCGAAATTAATCCAAAAATTCATAGAAATGTTCTGCGAAATGTTCATGGATGAAACGGGAATATTATGCAATTGAGAAATATATTCATTAATATGGAAAGTGCTTTTAAATTTTAATTATTTAATACTCTGTAAATGGAATAGTAAGTCATTTAATTTTGAAGAGTACAGAACAATTTATTGTTAATGGTTTTTCACTTGAGAAAATAAAGTTTTAACTGAATTAATTCATGGAAATTTATGAGAACATGTATTCACCGAGAGAACGAAAGAAACTCATTTCAACTTCAATTTATTATGCATCGATTCTCCACTGGAAGTGAAATCTCCAATTGTCCATTTAATTATTAAAATTACAATCTGCATAAAAAAGAAATATCGTCTGCATCTCATCGATTAGGATTTTTCAAGCTGTCATTATCAATTCTTCTGAATTTTTTTTAACAAGTTGGTGTACTTCATGCCTGGAGTTGTGAGGAGTTACTCTGCCAAAGTTTTTTCAACGTCAGATGGTGGCGGAGTTGTTTCCACCATTTTTTTCTTCATCAACTTTTCAATAAAAAAACCATTTTGATGACAAAAGAAAAAAATTGAAATTGCTGGACCCGTTGAAATTGAGAAGAGCCACGGGATTTTGTGGGAGGAATTCCACGGGCGACTGATTAAATCACCGATTCAATCGAGTACCAATGCCCTAATTACATCCATTAATGGCACTCGTTTCAGGCACTGTATTCCTGTGGCTGTTCTGGCCGTCGTTCAACGCAGCAGCTCTTCAGGGAAATGATCAGCAACGGGCGATAATCAATACTTTATTAGCAATTGCCGCGAGTTGTGTCGTGTCATTTGCTGTGTCCGCACTAGTATCAGAAGAGAGTAAATTTAATATGGTCCACGTTCAGAATTCAACACTCGCTGGTGGAGTTGCCATAGGAACAGCTTCGAGTGAGGAATTCATTTTTTTCCAGAAAAATAATTTCAACTTTTGAATTCAAATCAGTGAATTTTCTGTCATTCCGCGATTTCATTCACTAAATTAATTAGGGGTGGAGATGATCAAATTGAAAAATTTTTCCTCATTTTTTCATCGTCAGGGGAAGGGAAATCCATTTTACCTCACCTCTAATTTTATCATTTTCAACATAATTATCTATCTCATTGACAATCAGATCAATGAGATCGAATCAGCGATCAATTTCTAATTCTCGAGTTTGCATTTTTTTAGATATGATGTGCGAACCTATTGGGGCCCTTTTAATTGGGTCCTCTGCTGGGGCCATAAGTGTTCTCGGATACAAGTATCTTACGGTAAAGTATATACTTTAAATATTCTTTGGATATACTCGGGAATATCTAAGAAATCAGGGGAATCGAATTGTTTTTTGGGATAATTGATGCGAGAATTCGCGAAAAATTCTTTTTTTCCTTTGACAATCGGTTATAAAATCTCTAGAACTGCTTCTCCGAACGGAATTCTAAATTTTAATCGGATTGCTCACTCGATTTGAGATGGTACCCACAAAGTGCTGTTCAGAGTTGACCTCTTTGGATTCATCTCTTCCAAAAACGGAAGAGAAGAGCTCGTACGTGACTCCATTGTTTTGAGCACCAAAAAAGTTATCTCATAACTCCGCGAGACCTTTCCTTTATTAAATTACCCAACTGTGTACACGTGCACCATCCGAGAGATAACAGATGTTTCAATTATCTCATTCCGTTGTATTTATGAATTTCCGCGAAAATCCCTCAAAATTTCTTATGAAGACAATGAATTCGCGAATTTCCTCCTCCATTTCCCCATCCATTTCCCTAATCCCCAGATTACCCAGACTCCCTGCCTACCTAAAAAAACTTCAATGAAACATCAATTAAATTCCAACCGAATGCCCGAATAAAATCCAGAAAGATATAAAGATTCCTCAGTCAAAGTGAAGTGGAATGAAATTTGCAATTGCATGCCTTTCCCTCCAACAAAGTGCAATGAGAATTCGATTTATCAAATTTTCTCGACGAGTAGAATCCATTTCCAGAATAATAGGAATTAATTCCACAGCCGATGATTCAGAATCGATTGAGAATCCACGACACCTGTGGAGTGCACAATTTGCACGGAATGCCAGGAGTTCTCGCTGGTGTTTTTGGTGCCCTAATGGCCGGAATGGCGACAGAGGTATCTTACAAAGAGTCACTCTATCAAGTATTTCCAGCCAGAGCACCAAGTACTGGTGATGAATCCGCCGAATTGCGGGTTTACTCTGGCATCCATGCAGGTCATGACAGAACAGCTGGCCAACAGGCTGGCTATCAATTACTAGCACTCGGCATTACTCTCGGTAATGCAATTGTATCTGGAGTTATCACTGGTAATTACTATCAAATACTTTGAATTTGCTCTGCAAAGTGGTAAGCTAGCATGAATCATTTTTTTTTTCGACCACGAAAAATCGTAGATACCGAAAAAAAAAAAAAAAAATGTTTCACGGCGAATTTGCATTGAGTTATTCACGGGCAATAGTTGTAGAATTATTGCATATGTTGCATTGTAATTACACCAATTTTTATAAGATAAATAGGGAAGTTAATGATTTAGGAATGATTCTGCGGACGGATATTTGTGGCACTGTGCCGGAAGCAAGTAAATTCGATGATGCACTTCATTTTGAACTGGAGGACGATGTGGAACAGGATTTGCCGATGAAAATACCGGAGGGAAATTCCAGCCGAATCGTCGAGCAAATATCCATGAGTCATATTTAATTAGAGGGGAACCGCAAACCAGCGGAAAATTGTAAACAGAGGATTACGCTGGATGTAATAATAAAGAGAAATATTCAATATTCGTAAGTTTATTAAGGATTTCCGCAATTAACCATTCGCCTCAGTTCCTATGCAATCAATTAGTGATATTAATTATCAATAAACAAACGCTGAGGATTTTTCCGCGTCAATTAATCATTTTCACTGATTTTTTACGATTTTTTACGATTCTCACTCGTCGGATTTCGAATGGCTGAATTAAGCTGATGAGGCATGTGCATTTACGATTTTAATTATTTTTGGTGATTCGATGGGTGGAAATGTTCAGTCGAAATATTTTATTTCATGAGTAATTGATTTGGGTTTGAATTACATTTATTCATTCGGTCGGAAGAAATCACGTCTGTCTGTAATCGCAATATTACGAAATTTTCAGTGTGAGTCGATGCGAGAGAAAAGAGAATATTTTAACAGAATTTTCATACGGAGAATTTTTTTTTTCTCTCATACGTGATATTCAATCCGAAAGAGATGCTCTCTAATGAGGAAGCTCATGGATATTTAATTACTGATTTACGTCTTGACATGATTGATTGAGGGGGGTTTAATTATTCAATGAAATAGAATCCACAAGTCAGCAATTGTGGATTTAATTTCTAGTATTGAAATGGAGTGGAAAATATGTAATTGAGCACGATTTATCAATTAAATATATCATGGCTCGGTGGTTTCACTTGTGATTCAATGCTGAATATGAAATTGAGGGAAAGAGAATTTATTTTCGCAATGCTTTTTGAAGGAAATATTGCATCAACCGTTCGATTATATTTAATTGGGATGAATTGGGATTGAATTGCGGTCAGCTGGAATTTTTAAAACAGTCGAATTTATTGGTAACAGCATTATTAATTTTATATAAATATACAAATGGCATTCAATAATCGTCATGATATATTGATGCACTATTTCGTGATGTAGGACGAGAAAATTTTGTATTCAAAAAATTTTTATTCTTCAGCAAGAAAAATACTCTTTGAATGTAAAATCTTCCTTTTTACCATCAAAATTTATTTATCTCTGTACGCAATATAAATTCGTATATTTCACTTCATGAGGGCGTGGACAACAGCCTTGGCATTGAGGGTCTTGAGATCAGTGTAAGTCTGACCAGTGCCAACGAAAACAATCGGCTGACCTGTGATGTAAGTCATGGAAATGGCAGCGCCGACCTGAAATCATAATTTTTAAACGAAACGAAATATTAAATGAAATAATTTTTCACTTCACCATTAAAATCTTTTTTATATATTTATATATAAGAAAATAAAATGAAACAATAAATCAATTGCCATCAACCACAAGAGTGGAGGAATAAAAAAAAGAGGAGTCTGCAGCGGAATTACCTTATCATCGATAGTATCAAATTTAGTGAGAACGATTCCATCGATAGTACGAGGAGTGGCGGAATTGCTGAAGTCCTCGAGTGCACGATTGAACTTAACGAGCTGATCAACAGCTTCGTTACCTACGAGTGCTTCTCCAACGAATAGAACGAGATCCGGCTGATTAACTTTTATCAATTTCGCTAGGGCACGCATCAGTGGTTCATTGTCCTGCATTCTTCCAGCTGTATCGATCAATACAATGTCTATTCTCGATTCCTTGGCGAAGCGAATCGCCTCCATAGCTATTCCAGCTGCATCCTTTCCATAGCCCTTCTCGAATAATTGTACCATCGTGGAATTTCCATGCTTTTCAGCTGGATGAAGTGCATTCAAGTGACGGGTGTGGGTACGCAACTGCTCTACTGCTCCAGCACTGGAATATAAATTATGTTGGCAAAAAAAAAAAAAAAAAACCAATCCATATGCATCAGAGACCCGTCAGCAAAATAAAAGGATAATAATTCAAATAAACTTTACTGTTCATCTTTTAACACACTTTGGATAGAATTTTTATTTCCAGTTTCGATTTTGAAATTATTCATTGGAAAATTCTGGACTCACCGAAAAGTATCGCAAGCTGCAATGAGCACCCGAAAATTATTCTCAATTAGCCAGAAGCATATTTTCGCAAGATTGGTGGACTTTCCCACGCCATTGACGCCACAAAAAGACATGACATAAGGCCTCCCCTCCTTTTTGGCCTCGTATGCATCACGCAGGATATCAACTCTTCGTTTGGGGGAGAGAATTTGAACGAGGGAGTCAGTGAGAGTTGTCTTCACAGTGCTGGCGATGCTCTCGAAGGTCCCCAGGACTTTGCCCTCGAGTTTGGCTCGCAGGGAATTGCAAAGACTCACAGAAATATCTGATGCAACGTTCTTGGCGATCAGGTGGTCCTTCATTTTCTCAAGGACAGGATCGAGATCGGTGGAGGTGAGCTGTTTATTGCTGACGAGACCCTTCAGGACTGAGAACATCCCACCACCGGATTTTTTTTCAGGCTTTGTCTGGGTTACAACTTCAATCTCCTCCTCGTCGGAGTCAGATTCAACTTCCAAGTCACGAATGCCTCCTCTCATCTGACCTATCAGCGCAGTATTCGCTTGAATCCTCTCGCCCTCTTCTGCTGGTTTGTCTCGGGTACGTTCTAGGTTTGCCAGATCTTTGTTTGTACCTCCCAATTCCCAAACCCGGGGCTTTTTTCCTGCCTTTTCCGTCTTCGGACTCTTTTGCTTGTCAATTTTTTTCTTGGTTATACGCTGGCTCAACTTCTTCAAATTCAATTCCAATGAATTTTCACCGGAGTCTATATCATCTTCATTTGTAATATTCACTTGATCGTTTCCATTCTCTTGTACGTGCGTTCCATTTTCGTCAAGGGTAACAGCTGCTTTTTTCTTACTCTTTCCGGATTTTTTGTCATCCTTGTCGTCCTTTCTCTCTATCATACTGGCAACAGTCTTTTTGGATTTAGCGCTCTCATCGAACGTTCGCATTTGCTTGGGCATTTTTGCCTGCTGTTTTCCCCATTGCTCAGCAGACATGAGAATATTCTGGTAATCGCCCACGAATTTTCCATAATCGAAGAACCACTGGGACTTCTCCAGCTGATTCTTAAATTTATCCCGAAACTCCAGGTGAATATCATTCAGAAATTTATCCACGTACGAGAGCTGCAGAATCTTCTGGTATGCCACCACGAACACCAGCTCGAATTCATTGTCAAGTTTGTACTGAAGGCGCAAAGAGTCATGCTCGTATGCTGAAACACCTGTTCTCTCCTGGAAATTATAAATAAAATATATAAATATAATACGCATTTCAATGAAAAATATAAAATATAATGACAGAATGTGCACATATGTTAGTCCTTCATATAATTACTAGAAGGACGAGGAGAATGATGTGGCGAATTCACAGTCAGAAATAAATTAAACTCCGGAATTCGTGAGTGCTAATTCACAATGACAATGTGCAAATTAAAAAAAAAACTCACCTGTAATATCACACTCCTAATGAGTGCATTAACACTCGGTTTAAATAATTGTGATGTACTCTGGAAACACCAGAGTACAATTCCACCTTTACTAAATATCGTGAACAAGTCCAACATTTTTTAAATGAAAAAATCAAATTTTCACGATATTATTTACGTCTCTTTTTATAACTGTTTATTATGATTCAGTCAGGAGGATAACCTACAGCTGTTTTTGAGGTATCATTTATGTACACGTCAGATTACCGGAAGTTCCACACAAGTTGGCGACGTCTTTTAGCGGGAATTTTAAATGTTGAGGTGATGATGATGAAAATTCAAATAGCGAGGTACAAGGAATTGATTGCAGTGACTTTGAATAATAATGTTTTTTTTATTTATTCCAAGATTAATTGATAAATATAATGGTACAATGAAAATAATTCCAAATTGTCATTTCGCAATAAACAATATGCCCACCGCTTCTCCATCCTCTCAAACTCTGGATTTCAAGAGAAATTCCGATTGCTGAAATAATTATTAAAAAAAAAAAAAAATACTCAATAGTGCCAATAAGACATTTTTAATTATTTTAAAAATAGCGTATAATGCATACTTCTTCATGATTTTTCAATATTCACTTTTGATTTCTTTTTAATCATTAGACATTTTTTACTTTCGATGTTCTACAATATGTCTTATTTTATACAATTAAACAAAATATATCCGATTACGAATATGAAATTAATTAAAGCTAATGAGGGACGATAATTCAGCAGTACGAAGAAGTAGCAGTGCAAAATTCAAGTAATTTTCAATGAATACCTGAAATGCATACGATGTGGTGAATTGAACTAATCGAAAAAAAGAACTGGTGAATTGCTTCATTTTTTTTTTTTAAATATGAAATTATTGTAGAACAACTATCTAGCTGTCTCCAGCGTTGGGTATTTATAGAAAATAAAATAAATTACATTTTTTATATTGACTTACAGACTAGATAAAGCCACTCAACGTAGAATGGAGGGTACATCTTCGTAATTTTTTATCATTAAATAGCGAAGTGGTAAAGCATAACTTCAAGACCATTATTAGTCGTTAATTTATCGTAGAAATAAGAAATTTCGAACGAAAATCTGGCATTTTTACCATTTTACAATATTTTACTAAAAAATTATTCAGTAAATTGAAAAATTCACACAAACATTCATTTATTTTAATTAATCAGAATATTGAAGGCCATTTTAGCTGCTCGAATGGTTTAATTCAACGGCTACGACTTAAAAAATTCTTTATTCCATAACATTTTACCACTTCCCTACTGAATCCCTTTTCTGAGTCTTGATTATTCCCAATCAAAAGTCCTCAAGAATAATCACATTGAAGTGAATCATCGATTAATAAAACAGGAAAAAAAAATTATCGACACCAAGTCTTACTCGAACCATTCAATACTTTTCGTAAGTAGTAATATCCCAACTCAATTGAAAAATGAGTTAATTGCCCTCGATTTTCATAAAGTCATAAACGCACTGCATCCTGCCGATAGCCTCAGGAATACGCATGAATAATTGAGGGCAAGATGAAATTGCCCAGTGAATCAATCTCTGGAGTGTCATTTAGTCGCGTGAGGAGCCAATAATAGCGAGAATATACATGAAAATATTGATAACATCGAGGTAAAGATTGAGAGCTGCAAAAATGTACTCTTCAGGCGACACTGAGTACTTGTGCTTGCCTCCAAGCATCATCTGGGTGTCGTAGATCAAGTAGAAGGAGAAGAGAAGTGCTCCTAGACTCGCGTAAACAAGATGAACAACTTTATTTCCCGGGATGAATATGAAGATTATGCCGAAGAGCATGAGAACGACCATTGCGATGAAGAGGACGGTGTGGCACCCGGTAAAGTCGTATTTGGTTTGGAACGCGAATAGAGTCAGAGCTAGACAAATAGCTGCTGTTATTCCGGCTGCCATCAGCACAGCTTCAGCATCGTAGGTGGAGGAGGCAGTGGCCAGGAGAATTGCCTCAGCAATAGTGAATATGAATAAAAATACAAAATTCATAGGTGCTTTGCGTCTGACGTTGGTGCAGCATGCCATGCAGATTATGAGGACAATCGTTACGACGAAAGCAACCCAGAACAACCAGGTATGGCTGTGGACGTAACGTCTGGTTGGTGCATGGTACATGAACCATGCGATCATCGCAACTGTTATCGACAATTGAACCATGAGGATGGAATAGACTTTCCTGATGAATCCATTTCTAATGCTCTTCTCCGAAAAATCGAAGCCCTTTATCTCGTCGTGCATTGGGTCTTCGGCGTAAGCACTGCTGCCGTACATTCCTGCGCCTGGTGGTGGCCCCCCGAAAGGAGCTGCTGTCGGTGGTGGCGGTGGACCTTGACCGTAACCTCCGGGAGGAACAAATCCAGGAGCTAAAATTCCGTATTTCGTTATTCATTATCGGAATCCCTTTTAAATTATTCAAAAATAACAAAAAAAATATTTCGTTTTTTGAAAATATCCCGTAATAAATCCAGGAGCTCATTAGCAAAAAATTTCATTATTAGTCCATGCGAGAGATGAAGAGAATGAAAATTTTTTGAATGTTTTTATATGAAATAATGATGATACCTGGGGGGGCGCCGTATCCAGTGGGATATCCCTGATTAAATTCAGCTCCTGGTGGTGGATAGCCCGGTTGAGGGGGATATGGATACCCTGAACGCAAAAACAGAAAAATTTCAAAGGGTTACACATCAGATAAAAGCAATTCCAAGATAAGATAACGAGTGAATGATATCATTGTTAATCACTCCACTGTGACGTGTCACCAACGTGTTATCGGTATTTCTGCGGATGATTCATCGAACTCGTGAAGCGAAATTCAAGCTGATTATTCAAATTATATCAAAATAAAGTGCCTAGCTCTAACTGCATCGAGGTGCATCAGGGGGTCATGAGGAAATCAGCCCTGTGACTCGATTAAAAATAGAGAAATAAATACAAATGAATGTTTACCAAATATTTTCTCAATGGAATTCAGTGAAACTGTGTATTTATAATTAAATAACACTTGTGTATGATTTTTTGGTTTGTCTAATGACATTTAAACAAAAATTAAAACCTTGTTGGCCTGGGTATCCTGGATTTGGTGGCTGCTGCCAGTTGGACATCTTTCTGATTTATACTGAAAAATAATGCCTCCTGTTATCACGCTTATCTCACTCCCAAAAAAATATATGAGTATCAAGATAATTGTAAACGGTTGGCAACGTCAAATTTAGCTGAATATTTTTATAGCTCTCTGTAACTCAATAAAAATTATAATTTCGCAACAAATATTTCATAAGATAATGATAGCATCTCCTGTTATCGAGGAACGGTCCATTAATAACTCATGACTGGTCATTCTTTTAATGCTTAGAACGCAAACATTTGCAGAAGCCGCACATGCGCTTCAGAATGAACTTGTTATCCCGATTATATGCACTCTTTGCTAATTGGGGATTTATTTTCATGATAGTCCTGGTGACACGTGTTGGCTGTGTGAAAAAAAAATCCAGGAGTATGATTTTACATTTTACATCGAGTCAACAGCACAATTTTTTAGGGGAAAATATAAATATAAAATTCCATAATTAAATAATCCGGTGGGAAGAACATTTATTATATAAGGTTTTTAGAATATCTGCTTTTTGAGAATATCTGGTTAATTGCAGAGAATAATTATCTTGAGGCTGAATATTTGCTGAGAATATTTCTGAGATAAATAAACATTGGAGGATGAATTTATCAACCCGTAGTAGAATCATCAATGCACTTCCTTCATTACTTATCTCTCATTACATTACAATGTCAAAATAACGACAAAAACCTCCGTTTTTTTTTTAAATATTCCATAAAAAAAGGAGAGGAGAATTCAATAATGGAATTCAAGGATTTAATTGGAATTTTGATGATTAATGATTATTGTTACGGTATTTATTATTCAGACAAGTGCCGGCCCTGGAGATCATTTGATCAGCCGGTAGCCATGATAAAATGGCGTCCTTGATTACAATTACGAAATAATTGCACCGCGGTATAATTTTATGATATTTATCCATCAGTTATTGTTACGTGCGAATGTAATGCGTCATCAAGTACATTCTGGAAGTAAGGGGGAATCGATGCGATGAGTGAAGGTGGACTTACCTTTTTTCTTTCACCCCTTTCAAGAAATTCCGTGGAATGTCAACTCCTTGTGAATAAATTTCAGCGAATGAACACCTGAATAGCCCGGATTTTACTTAATTACTATTTGTTTTCTTACGTCGGGCTAATGTACAACTGTACAAAATTCACGGGTTTCCCTGGAAATTTATGTCGCGGAACTGAAGATTATTTAGATGACATATCACAGAAAGGATGGGAGTCCCTAGCGCTGTCATCTCCTTCTGAATCCTCAATCAATTGGTAATTATCTTATTTAATTTGAATTATTCTAATGAATCCTAATAATTCGAATAATTTTAAAGATTGAAATAACAATGCAGACTCCGAGAAAAATAGGAAAATTATACATAATAGGAAAATATGGGAAAATTCCAGTGATCCATTGGTCTGGTGACTGATTTCTAGATGTCACGTTGGGATTTTTCTCAGATCCTTGAGCAGATGATTGTAAATACCAAAGAGGATTGAGTAAAGTAGAGGCTCAGTTCTGAGGGTTTGAGCGCCCTCCCCCTTTTGGGGTGCAGTACTACGATGCTGGTGGGGTCACTCAAACCCCCATAACTGAGCCTCTACTTTAGTCAATCCTCTCTGGTAAATACACTCAAAGTTAAGTTTTTGACAGTAGTGAGATTTCTTGATGAGCCTCTTCCAAGTGGATTATTTTGATTGAGTGAATTGTATCGATACTATAGATACATGAAAATCTATATTTCATTGGGTTTATTGTAGTGTTAAATACCGTCAATCTTGTCGTGACCTTTTCACGCCAGCGCCAGACAGCGTTCAATTCCAGACCTAGAGAATTTGTATGTACCTAGCTGACAAGAATCGTGATGGCGACCAGAGTGGACTGAGATTTCGAAGTTGTGTGCAATAACTGGCATAAGTAAATAAATTCAATCAGTTATTGCGTGCGGGTAGGAGGTGTCATTGATCGCCATTGGTGGGAGTTTTTGGTGGAATTTTTCCTGATTGACAGATTGAATCATCAAGGGCTTTGTTTAGCACAATGGATGATGGTAAAGAGGCCGAACGCCAACCACTTCTCAGGAATGATAGTGTGCCGTACAGTTCCCAGAGCAGTGATGTCCTTGGTAAGTTAAGGATGATTTTCAGGATGTGAAAATTCTGGTGACCCGAGTATTATCATTGATTTTTCGTTCCCGGTGTAGACGGTACACAATCGAATGTCAACACTGTATCGCCAATTGGTCCTGATCAGGTGCCCCCACCTTATCAGTCCTCTAATCAGAGTGGAATGCCGATGGTCACCTGCAGGGTCTGTCAGGCTATGATTGATATTTCTGGGAAAAGGGATCAGCATGTCGTCAAGTGCAGCCAGTGCAATGAAGCCACGGTAGCAAGAATTCATTCTAAAAAAATGAATAATTCCAGTTCTTGGGGATTATATCGAAAACCAAGGGAGATACCGAGAATTTTCCCATGACCTTTTTTGCAGGCGAGACTTAGGCCTCCAGAAAAGTCCTCACAACAATTCCGATATCTCTTCTAGATTCGGAGATATTCCTGAAAAATTCACCTATTTTCTAATCGACTTGTCATTCGTTATTATTTGAAAACAGAATTTTTTGGAGGTTTAATGGTTTAAATGCACAATTCAATGCTATTCAATCGATTTTTCAATTATTCTTGGCCAGCCAATCAGAAATGCTCCACCAGGGAAAAAGTATGTGAGATGCCCCTGCAATTGTCTCTTGATCTGCAAGAGTGTATCACAAAGAATTGCCTGTCCCAGGCCCAACTGCAAACGTATCATAAACCTGGCGCCTAGTCCTGTCACACCACCAGTACTCTCGATGCCAGGAATGTGCAGGGTCTGTTGTGCCCACTGTCATGACACTTTCTTGGTGAGTCCCTCATCACCATCCCCCAACAGCTATTCTTATTATTTCCATCAACATCTTCCAGTTCAATACTCTGAATAACGCACTCGCCCGATGTCCCCATTGCCGCAAAGTCTCTTCCGTAGGCCCGGATTTCGCTAAAGGACGAGGAATAATGTTCATCACCATTGGCCTCATTGCGCTTGTCATCGGAATCGCCGTTACCGTACGTTCTTTTTCAATTATTCCAGATAATTCATCTTACTCTCCAAAAAAATGTATATCTTTCTTCAATTTATATCTTCAGGGGACTGGAGTAATATGGACACTCATTAAAAATCGTTTTACTCCAAAAATTTTAAAAATCCAATTGCCTGTGTTTATTTCAAATTTATTACTTCGATAACCAATTAAAAAATAATTTTTTTTTAATTTCATATTAATAACCCTTTAATTAATCAAAATTGTTGAAAAATTTGAAGGTTGGCACATACTCGCTGGTGGGTACCAATGGTGGCATTTACGTGGCATATGTGGGTAAGTCTGTATCCTGGAGTACATATATTCCCTTTAAAAAAAAAAGCATGTAACATTTTCTGTCAGCTTTTTTCGGCGCATACCTAAGTTATGCATATAAATATATGTATTTTAGCCGAGAAAACACGAAAAATGCGAATATCACCGTCTGGTTTTTCCCAGGGGCCTAGAAAAATTGCGAATCGCTATATATGCTGGTGATAAAAAAAAAATTGGATTAACAATAAATTGTCTTCAACAGGCGCTTTCTTGGTGGCTTTGCTGTGCCTCGGGAGGAGCATCTACTACTGTACACTGAAAATTAGTCTAATAGAGGGTCCATTGTAGGAGTAAACCATACAACCCAGCAATTGCAATAACCCAGAAGATGCAACAGAAAGCGACACGTATACAATTAATTGAGAGAACAGAAATATTAATTTTATCATTGATGTCGTATAACCAATTTTAGAATTATTCTTTCATGAATTCATTATTAAGCGCAGTCTTGGGGGCAAATGCATGGTGAAAGCAATTGTAAATGGAGAGATATATGTCTCGATAAATCGCAATGCCATTTCGTGATAAATCACGAGTGTTTACATGGAGATATAATAGATTTAATCATTAAATTCTTATAATTCTTTCCTACGACAAATTGGCAACTACTGGAGTGGAGGAGTAAAAGCATAAAGACGACAATTGGGGTGATTATGACAAGTCCACAGTGACTGTATATAGAGTTGTGAGTCGAGAGTGCAACTTCCATGAGATTGTGAAAGCTTTTTTTCTTGGTGAAAAAAATAAGGAAATCCATATTTTTTACGTTTACTATTCCTTTATCCTTGCGAATTGTTAATATTCATTGATCCTGTCGTTGCATACGAATGACAGGTTGAATTGTATTTATTCATGTGGCATCTGTTGGTTGTAATATCTTAGAAATCCACGTGAATGTTCGGAAATTTTTTATTTTTTATCATCTCCTCTGTAATTAATGTAATTAACGATTACAGATGTAATTCACATGTCATTACCGAATGGTTAATATTATGGATGAATAAAAATACGTGATTTTATATTAGCATTTTTGAAATTGCATTTCGTTTCCCGGGAGTGCGGATGCGCATGCGCTGATATTTCCATGCCAATAACATCACAAAAAACCGATGCAACAGGTCAAAGAGGATTGATTGAAGTAGAGGCTCAATTCTGGGGGTTTGAGTGACGAATGCTTTTTGTTTTTCATTTGTTTAATTGAAATTTAGCCGACAGTAGCACGTACGGAAGGGGGAAACCACCTCTTGTGGAATTTCAATGGAAAAAATTATTCAATAGGTTGAAGATATACCACTAATGAGTTTAAATTTTTAAATGAGCGCGTTGTCCTAGTGGTAACGTGCTCGACTGGCACGCCGGCGGCCCGGGTTCAATCCCGGCATCATTCATTTTTTTTTTTATTTAAATAATTCCAATTTTTTTTTTTTATTAATGGCAAATCAATCGAAATATTGTTTAAAAACTGAATATTTGATAATCGAGGAGATATGCAATGAAATTGAACAATTTGACATTTTTTTAAATCAAAGTTTTTCAATATATATACTCCTAATGAAATTATTATATTGCAATAGTATGTTA